AAAACTCTCGCAGATTTAGTTTAAAATGAAAAGGAGTTCGTGCTGTGGAGTGGAGTGGCCATATATATAAGTTGACAAACTTTTGGGTCTGTTTTACACCAGGGGGAATTATGCGCGCGGAACAGAATTTTTCATTGCCTATGCGCTTTCATGCAAAACAATTTGCGAAAAACAAAGAAAAATTCCTTTCCGCGCGTGAAACTCCGCCTAGTTAAAAACAGCCTATATTTAGTTACTTTTTTGTAGTACATGGTGATGCTATAAGTAAGGCTGTCATGAATGGAAGATTCCCTTCCTGTCCTAATGGAGGGAAGTTGAGAGGGCTATATATAAAGAAGAATCCAAATTATATAATAAAATCAATCTCGATGTTTCACGCCTAACAGGTTTCCGACTCGACAGCTCATTTCTGAAGAAGACAAACGTTTCGAGCAAAGCTGAATACATATCATCGTGCGTAAAAGAACCATGTTGTAGATCTCTGAACTACAAGGAAAGTTCACCACAAGCTGAGGCTAGTCTCTGTGAGATGTTACATGATGTGATCCATAATACGTCGAAACAGTTGCAAGAGAATAGTTTTTATGATTACATTTATTTTAAAGAGTCAAAGAAGGTAAAATAGCATTTAGCTTATCGTTTGTTACTAATATGTTCGAATTTTGAACCATTAACATTTCGTGTAAAATACAATGTCGAGGCAGCATCTCGATAATTAGGAGGCCATATTATTCATAATAATAAACTCGATAGACGCTAGTAACTCTTACACTTTGAAAAACAAAGTAGAATTGCCGGCATTGCAAGTTGAAAGAAAAATTGCACCGTGTAAGCTCTAAAAGATTAAGCTCTCCTACTTTAAATGCGAAAAAGACAAAGCAACTTGTAAATTATTTTTTAATTATCAGACCGTAGTTTGCATGTGCAAAATGTAGCTATATTTCCTGTGTAATGCGTCTTAGAATAATCGATGAAATAAAAAATACTTAGTCACCTGCCAGAAGCCTAGTAAGCATAACACCGGATGTTCTTTTTCTAACAGGTATACAATGAACAATGCACCAAAAAAGGTATTTTATTATTTGTATTAGAGCCGTAGCTGGAAGCTTAATTGGGGGGGGGCATATTAATCACCTTATGCCCGGCTGATTTCTTTTGAAAGTTTTTGTTCCTACGGTTTGTGCATGATTAATATGAGTACAGCACTATGAATATGCATCCTACAGTTAATACGATCTTGTATATTATGTATGCATGCATGTTGACGTGTTCTGCATTATTTACTCCCTTTGAAATAAATTGTTTTTACGGCATGAGAAAAAGGCCTGTTTTCCACTTCAACAGTACCGTAGTGTAATGTAACGTATTTTTATGTGTTTCCAAGTATTCGACGTTTTGCTAGGATACGGTTGAAGTGGAAAACGACCGTAAGCCTATTATAGGAATATTTGCCTAGTTTGCTTATAATTATACAGGAATATAATTATCGTTCTCGCAGCGCCCTTGATAAAGGCCGAATTCATATTAGATGACGGATTTCTAGCCAGCTCGCAGACTGAATTAGGGGGCTGGAAATTAAATGGGGAAAATTTCCACGTTAAATTTCCGGCCGTTCAATTCAGTCTGCGAGTAGGTTAACGGATGTCCGTTTAAGACGCAAAACTCGACGCAGATGGGTAACTCGTTTGTATACCAATGTATTCCGCAAAGCTTAATTACCAGTCTTTTATTGCTATTTTGGGCAAAAATTTGTCTGATTTATTCGTCAGATTTAAATTTAAGACGAGTTTTCTGACAAAGACAAGAAATTCGTCCATATTCTCCGTCGTTTGAGCGGAAAAGTTGAACGGAGAAATTAAGACGAAGAACCTATGGTTCACCGAATTGATATCAAGACGTGTTACCTGTCTGCGTCGAGTTTTGTGTCTCAGACTTCTAATATAAATTCAGCTAACGTCCTTTGAGTTTTACCAAAAAATACATCGAGTGAATGGATGGCATATAAAATACCCGACCTTGGCAACTGAATTCGTACACCATATATGATTTTTACATCCACTTGCAGGAGATTATGATCTGAAATTTGAAAGCGCTCAAAACTTTACTTTACTTGACCAAAATGTGCCGAAGATGTCGAACATGAAACTAATGTTCTGGATGAATACGCTGAAAGCAGACGAAATGACAGTTTTTTCCTACCGAACGAGAGAAGGTGCGGGGGAATTTAAGCTCAAAATGGAAAAAGAAAGCATAATCCTAGAAGTTCAATCGCTGAAAAAGTATGAGATATATGTATTTGTTTTAAGCATTTTGCATAACGAAATTGCTTTTTGTTGTCTTCGAAATGAATTAATAATCATCGAAATTAAATGATTGGGTTATCATCGTTCTTATACACAGCGGTGTCTCTGAAAAAATCCCGAACTGGAATCACCAGACCTATGGGAGCGATATTTTCAATGTAATGTTTTATTCCTTATGCAATAAGAAAGAGCTGTAATTTCGCTTCCCAATGATATACCTTTCTTCAGTTCGTAACAGCAAGAAATAATAAAATACATTTTTCAAAATTTAAGCTACCAGTAAGTCAATTAGTAACCGAAATTAAACTTGCCTGAGTAAAGGCAAAAACAAGCAAATTTGAATTTTTGAAAATTGGAATCTATTATAGGCTTTTAATCATGCGTGTTTGCGCCAATCATATTGTCGAATTCAATTCCAGGCGGAGAGAGAGTGTTGTAGCTTTCGACGGGCAATTTTTATGCCATTACTATGCCACAATTACTATGCCATTTCTGGCCATTATGGCATAAGAATATGTTGTTTAGAAAATAAATAACTCCTCTCCCTTGCGCCTTAAAAAATAAGTCGTTTGGCTCAATATTTTATATTTAAGAAATAGAAAACTTTTTCTGTGTTTCTGTATACGGTTATAGAAACACGCGTAGATGGTTGGGAGAAAGAGAAATATAATGGGCGACTTTTTTCACGTCATGTCGAGTTCTATCAAACTCCCACAAGTGTTTCTATAATTATATAGAAACACAGGAAAATTTCTTTTTCTCTATTTCTTTTATAATATATAACTCAATAAAAAAGTTTCATAAAAATTATTTTCATTAAATATCGCTTCCCCTGTCAAGTTGGCCGGAAAATTCCCGTGTCTCTATACAGTTATGGGGGGAGGTATACTGAAAGTCAGTCAGTTATTCATACCTGTTGCGGAGGCAAATTGTTCATATTCAACCTAGTTACTTTTGACTAAATCTTTGGGGAAGCAAATTCCAAAGCTTTAATGCTTTTTTTAAGGTATTTCTTTATCCCACCAATAAATGACGGCTATTGGCATCACGTGGCGGTAACATGGTCTCTTGGAATATACACTGTTTCTCTTGATGGTACATTAGTGTACGGTGGTGATGGTCTTTCCTCTGGCCAACCGTTGAAAGCTGATGGTGTCTTTGTTATTGAGAGTTCATTCTCGGGCAGATTGAGTCAATTAAACGTATGGAGTGATTTAAAGTCCGCTACTGCAGATCTCGATATAAATTCCACTACACAAAGCTGTTTAACTGACGAAGTTGGAAATGTTATTAACTGGCATTCCCTTGAGGACAGCTATCATTGTTGTGCGGTTGGCAAAGAACTAATAAGTACGTGTAAGCCGCTTCGAAACAGTAAGTCGAGTATTAATTTTTGAAATTTCTCAAAGCAAATGGAGTATATTTAGCGGTTTTTGGCACACATTTTGAAAACTGTTCGTAGGTACATAATAATTGAAAACTGACTCGTCTGACGTCATGCATGCATCTCACTTTTTTTACTTTAGATCCTGATTATGACTTTATCCTGGTAAAACCGTCATCAATCGACGTTAACATGATAAATTTAGGAAATATATCAAGCCTTGAGGCTTTCACAATAACAATCTGGTTAAAAAACGAAGAGAGGATGCAATATGAGTCCAAATCTATGGAATATGTTGATTACAGGAATGCTAACGGAACAAAGTTGGTATCACTTTATTTTGCTGCAGAATATTTCATCTTGAAAATAATCGGCACTTTTGCAAGGCAAGTTTTTCTGACAAATAATTTTGTCTTAATAATCCCTCTGGTATTTTCTGATGAATCGCTATTAGACTGAAGTCAGTCTGACAGTTTTTTTTGTCTATTGAATTATAACTTTTATAAGTTGTGTCTTGCGTAAATGGGGGAATATGTCGTGTGCCAATATTAGTAGTTACCGATTACCTGCTGAGGGATGGGTCTAGAGGAATGGGGAACTTCTAGTTAGGCTATTTTTAGGAATTTTACTATTAAAGTGGTACACCAAAAAAGATCATAATTATGCATATTTATAAAATTAGAAATATTGAAATATGTTGTAGTAGGAATGTAAGACTGTTCTAATTCTAGTTCACAGCACAGACATTCACGTGCTAAAACAAAACTCTCCTTCTGTTCTACCATGAAACTAAGATCTAAAACGACTAAAGCATACTTGGCACACTGACTGATGTCTGTGCTGTGAACTAGACTCTAAAAAACAGATATTAAGTATGTGAAGATATTTCGATATTTTCAATTCTATAAATTATTATGCAAATAACCTTTTTGTGGTGTTCTACCGTACTGAAAGACTTATTTACTCGCTTCACGTTAGCCCTGTTACGCTATGCAATTTTTCTTGAAACTTGCCAAGCAATTCTACTTTTGAGATATTTAGATTTGGCAACTACTAAGCTTTTAGGGTTTTACCCCCCATGCTCGTTTCATAGTCAGTCTAATAGACTTATATTTTGAAAACTCTTTAGTAATTTACATTTCTTGAAAGGAGAATTAATTGCATTGCCTTTAAACGTTTTGAGAATTTGCGTCTACGCATTTGTTTTATAAACATGCGGTGTTTAAATAAATAAATATCTCCCACTCGTGCAGGCTCATATATTGTCAGCGGAAAACTTACATAAAATTGAGACACCCGTTCCTCGTGTTCTAAATCACATATAGCGAGAGTTCTAAATTTTAGAACGTCGGATATATGTGACAGAGGTGATCACCTAAACAACCTGACGGCCGATTTATTTAAGGTGGCTGCTTGCCTTATATTGCGCTGTTCTATCGCCAATATGGCTACTGATAGAGCAGGTTATGATGTTTTAAGCGATGAGCAAAAGTCTCTCCTGAGGAAGTTTTATGAGGATGGCATGAAAACAACTTCTAAACAAATGCAGGAAAGAATAGCCCGTGCTGCTGACGTGGTAGGAGTAAGCTATCAAACAGTTAAGGTAACGTTTCACTTTAACTCTTTTTTATTGCACGAAATCAGTGAATCAGTATTACTGAGTCTCGGGATAAATGTTTAGCTTGCTGGCTACCAAACCGGTCAGTTCTTATCGACAAAATGAAGATTCGATGAATATCGTTTCTATTTCATACTGATATTTGCAAATACATTTGCATATATAAATATAATTCGTGCACATTATTTCCATATCATTTCCATATCACACGCACGTATATTTATCATTCATTACCAAAATTCTAAATACGTATTTATGGCTGACAGTGACATATAAATATACAAGTGAGCTATATCGTCCAGCAGTCCCTTCTCAGGAATATAATATTTTTGGTAAACAATGAATACTGCCGGTGGGAACAATCAACATATAGTTTATATTTATTCTTTGTTGTGTCAATGGACAGAAATGTTTGTGTGGCTTGTTGATATTATATTATAATCTATTACTATATAATATTTAATATAAGGTGAAGGAACTGCCTTACTGGTTCTGTGGTTCTCATTATTTCGAGTAAAATTATATAATTGTATATTATAGCATTTTATTTAAATATTTAACATTTACACTGTTTTGGTTCATCAGGCTGAGTTTAATTTTGAAGGATATTATGTAGAAATGTATAAAATTATTGATAAATCAGATTGATATAACATATTACATACACTAACATTTACTGTATTGCAGAAGTGGATTGGGAATGAAAGGATGAGACGAAAAAGGAAAGAAATTGGAGAGACTAGTAATTCTGTTCAAACTGAAGCCCTGCCTGCCAAATACCCTGCAAAGCGGGTAACATCGGGCTATAACATGTTTTCATCTAAAATCCTTGGCTCTGGTAAGTACAATCATTCAAATATAGAATGTATATTGGAATTATTATAGCCAACTTGGAGGTGGATAAATGTAAAGTTGAACTTGCTTTCTCCATTCCACATGTTTAGAACTGCTCAGCAATGTTGCATGACATAAATTGTGCTTTATTGAACTTTCGAACTTTTAGCAAACCAAGACACTCTTGATTGTTTTTAAATAGTTGGTGCATAATTTAAATAAAGCATTTTTGTTCTAATTTGTACAAGGAATATAAACATCAAAAGGGAGAGCATGTGAATAGGGGCTAATATACATGTATGAAATACATTATTATATACAGTACAGTGTAAACATGTATAATACATAGGCCTGTGCAGTAAGAACGTATAACATGTTTATGCAGGGATATATTTCTGTGTGATGCATGGACAAAATGTTGGTAATGTAATTATATAAACAATTGCAATGATCCCTCTCACAGTCTAGACAAAACAGCTTTCACTGTATATTGTAGTTGTGAAAATACAACTAACAAGTTCTGATATTTGATTGGGTTTACCATAATACACAGTGCACATAGCTGAGGGTTTATCTATGGAATGATTTGAAAGTCTTTATTTTGGTGATCCTATTTTATGTTGTGTACTGTGTGTGTGGGTGAGCTTTCTCACATGGAGAGAGCCTGCTTCTTCCATTTTGGTAAATTGAGTATTGGTAAAATTGTATATTTAAAATTACATATTTCTTTAATTTATTTTATGGTGATATTTGTAATTAGACTATAAACCATCATAATGTTGTTTTAGATGAATGTAGGTCAATTGAATCTAAGGCAGAGAAAATGAGCTTGGTTGCTTCAAAGTGGAATCTCTAAGTGACAATGAAAAAGTGTTTGGCGAGACGAGGCAAAGAAATGTGAAAGTGCACCAACAATGCTTACGTCAGAAGAAAAACGAAAGCAAATTGTAAAGAGCAGGAAAAACCTTATTAAAGAGGTAATGATATATTTTGTAACCCCACATATAACCACTGCAATAATACATACATTTTCTATAGAACATACCATATTTCCACAATTTTCAACAATTTTTTTTGTAAATTTTTTATGTTTTTCAGTCACAGGTTTAATTAAACCTTGAAAAAACTCAAACAAATCACACTTTAGTAATAATATTTTGTGGTCAACATTTGTTCAAAATATTTAACAGGTGTGAAAAAAATCATTTTTGTAGAGTACATATTTTTAGCAGACAGTTTTTATGATTTTCACATTTTATTAAATCCTTCATTGAATAGCTTATGTATCTTGAAAGCCTTGGATGTGAGACAGCAGTTGTGATGTATGACTCTGAAACTGGGACTGTCAATCAATATGGGTCAGCAAAAGGTGCACAGTTTCTGATGGCAAATGAAACAATTCCTTTAAAGTTTATGAACTTTTTTGGTAAGAATGATTGCAATATTTTGTAAAAATGCCACTACAGTAGGTCTGATTAGCAAAAATAATTCTGCAACTGAGTTCTTCAATAAGTAACTTGTTGCACTTGATGAACCAGGAGGGAATCGTTATCACAATATAAATATAATACCCCGGCCTAACATAAAAGAACAAAAATACCTGTATATTTAGAGAAGGTTTATATTTGGAGATGAGAAGGCAAACAGAACAGCAAATGAGGTCATTTTTATTGCTCATTTTTATGCATAATATATTGAGAAAAAATGTTTTATTGAGTATTAAAAATTATCTCATTTCACGGTGTTACATATTTTTATATTTTACAAAAATAGTTCACCAAGAATTCCATCTAAAAGCATTTTGCCCTCTTTATGATACATGTTAACCTGATTATTTGTTTGAATGTTTATTAATTATACATGTAGATGCAGCAAACAGTAGCACAAAAAAGTACACCAACAGTGATGTCAGAGACTTGTTTAATAAGAAGTACAGTGAGTATTTTTCAGCCTGCAATATTGTTAGTAATTAGTTTACTGTATCAACAACAATTACCCAATGATGTACATGATTGCCACTACAGTATCTCAGTCATTGTGCCTGTTAACAACAAAATTGTTGCAATAACATTGTTAATAAACATGAACAACAATGATTGACTATCTGGCCAGCTTGAGCATAGGCATATGGACAGGGTGGAAGCACCCTAGGTAGAATGAGTTTGGCAAAAGATGTGGTAGGATTAAATTATTATGACAACTACGACAGGCACCAGTGGCAGTTTCTTGACAGACAGAGGAATTGTACACTTCCTCAGCTCCTAAAACAACAGCTTGTATACTGCAATGAGTTTGAGGTTGTTCACACATTGTTGAAAACAACATCAAACAGACTGTGTGACTTGTTACTAATTTGCCTCATGTTACAGGTGAAGCCTGTGGGAAACCTGGATCCCGTGTGCCATATCTAAATGGACGTTTCAGTGTAACTGGCCTTCCGGATGGTGTGGAATTCTCTAAGCCGAACAATTATGGGGAAGACAAAATAAAAAAAATAATGAGATGTCAAGAGAGCATAGCTTTCCATATCGAGGAAAAAGCACAGAATCAGGTGGTGACATGGCTATAAGGATGGAATTGGAGTACTAGATAAAGAACTACCGGGTGGCGCAAAAAAAAGTTAACCTGTTTGATTAAGTATAACTTCAAAATTAAAATAGCTATTACATTAAAATTATGTTTGTTATATTCTCTAATGTCTAAATTAAATTTTGATATATAGCATGACGTTTTACATGCAGTTTTGACCGAGGTATCGCGGTTTCAATTTAAATATACATTTTCGAAAAGTGGAATTTCTTAAATTTCTTCGAAAAGAATTTTAAATAGAAGTATTTGACAGATGGATCATCAATCGTGCCGCATGGTCAGCAACCGAACAATTTTGGAACAGCTTCGTGCAGCAATTGTTACTGAATGCCGCAACATCAACCATGAAATAATCCAACGGTCATTTGACACCATGCATGGTAACGCGAGCAAGACGTTGCATCAATGCTGGAGGGCATGCTTTTCAAAATGAATAGATGTGGAATTGTACGGTAGAAAATGAACGCATAGTACTTAGTTGTTGTGTCCTTAATTAAAAACGAACTTTATTATCTGTTCTTATTTAGCTAATATGCCATTTTTTACTCATTTTTGCACTTTTCAAAAGCACGTATTAAAAGTTAAACGCCGATATCTCTGGGAATACTGTATCAAAATACACATGGTATATAACAAGTTTTAATTTAGACATTTACGAATCTAAAGAAAGTTATTTCAGAGTAACAGGCCTCTTAGTTTTGAAGTCATACTCAATCAAACAGGTTAACTTTTTTTTGCGCCACCCGGTACAAACTGCCATTTGTAAGGTGATTGATGAGGAAAAAGCTAAGCAAGTACTCAGTGGAAATTGTCAGATAGAGGAATCTGATGTAGAGGTGACAAATCTGGTGCTCTCGAATGAAGAGTATGAGTTGTTATCTGACAAATGCAGCAGCTGGTTTACAACAGACGCAATGATTGCATTGAAGGCAAATCACAAAGCATCATGTGAGCATGAGGGATATATTTTACGTGTGTACACAGACTCAGATGATGCATATTGGCTCTTCTATTTCCCCGGAAAAATAGCTAATATTAAGATGGAGGAAAACGAGAAAATTTGGGGATATTGGCTTGATGCCACTAATGAGAATCTGATGTATAAGCTCCTCATGTCAAAAGATAAAGTGCCAATTCACTCTGTGAACATTATCAAGGAGAACAACCTAAATAATTTATTGTTTTTACGAAAAGCCATCTTATTAAAAAAAAACAGTGAAGTCAGCATTCCGGAATCATTCCACAATTGTATATACACTACTTTAAACAATCATGGTTTTATTTAATTATTAACATAGTGTGGGCATTATTCATAAAGCATAAAATTTGTTATGTAAAATGTATAATATTATGTATTAAAAGTTCTCACTTCACTATTTTTCTAAGAACAATATATTGTCGGGACTGAGTGAGTTGGTGACACGCACTGCACAGAAATGGGAAGCAAGTTATAGGTAAATTAAGGAATCTGCACAAAAACCAGTTAGTGTCGAATTGTGACTCGACAGACGAAAAGTAGTCGTGAAAATATTAGAAAATCAGGGGTAGATTTTAGAAATGTGTTGTACGAATGTTGTTGTTTTTTAAAATATCGTGAAAATACACCCCATTTTTAACTAAATGGCCTGTTTAACGTAAATATATTAGGAAAAGAGGGGTAAATTTCGGAAATATATGGTACAAATGTTGTTTTTGTGTGATATATCGTAAATAATACACCCCATTTTAAAACAAATATAAGAAAATCAGAGGTTAATTTTAGAAATGTGTTGTACGAATCTGGTTTTTGTGTATTATATCGTGAAAATACACCCCATTTTTAACTAAATGAACTGTTTAACGTAAATATTAGAAAATGACGGGTAAATTTCGGAAACATGTGGTACAAATGTTGTTTTTGTGTAATTTATCGTAAATAATACACCCCATTTTAAAACAAATATAAGAAAATCAGGGGTTAATTTCAGAAATGTGTTGTACGAATCTTGTTTTTGTGTATTAAATCGTGAAAATGCACCCCATTTTTAACTAAATGGCCTGTTTAACGTAAATATATTAGGAAAAGAGGGGTAAATTTCGGAAATATATGGTACAAATGTTGTTTTTGTGTGATATATCGTAAATAATACACCCCATTTTAAAACAAATATAAGAAAATCAGAGGTTAATTTTAGAAATGTGTTGTACGAATCTGGTTTTTGTGTATTATATCGTGAAAATACACCCCATTTTTAACTAAATGAACTGTTTAACGTAAATATTAGAAAATGACGGGTAAATTTCGGAAACATGTGGTACAAATGTTGTTTTTGTGTAATTTATCGTAAATAATACACCCCATTTTAAAACAAATATAAGAAAATCAGGGGTTAATTTCAGAAATGTGTTGTACGAATCTTGTTTTTGTGTATTAAATCGTGAAAATGCACCCCATTTTTAACTAAATGACCTGTTTAACGTAAATATTAGAAAATGAGGGGTAAATTTTGGAAATATTTGGTACGAATGTTGTTTTTGTGTAATATATCGTGAAAATACACCCCATTTTTAACTAAATGACCTGTTTAACGTAAATATTAGAAAATGAGGGGTAAATTTTAGAAATATTTAGTACGTATGTTGTTTTTGTGTAATATATCGTGAAAATACACCCCATTTTTTAGTAAATGAGCTGTTTAACGTAAATATTAGAAAATGAGGGGTAAATTTTAGAAATATTTGGTACGAATGTTGTTTTTGTGTATTATATCGTGAAAATACACCCCATTTTTAAGTAAATGAGCTGTTTAACGTAAATATTAGAAAATGAGGGGTAAATTTTAGAAATATTGGTACGAATGTTGTTTTTTGTATATATCGTGAAAATACACCCCATTTTTAAACAAATAACGTATTTTCGTGAACATATTAGAAAATATATGGTAAATCTTAGAAATGTGTGGTACGATCGACTGTCGTTTTGCTTTAAATATATCGTGAAAATACACCCCGAGATATTGAATTCTAATAATGTGCATGGTAGTTGGGTTCCTTTAACATTCCACAATACCATATATTATACCACAAATATAATGAACAACTTTGATTCTGCATGGAAATAAAATGTTTCACGCATTACGTCAATTGTGACGTATATTTTATATTTTGACATAGGTAATTGGAACCATATTGTAGTTCTTATATAGTTATAAGTTAATTTGTAACAATTGTCTGAATTAAACAAACTAGAAAAAAAAATTAGGACGTTATGTATATGTGGGCAAAAGGGGAACATAATGAGTAATTTGTTGAATAGTTAATTGCAAATTAAGGGGCGTAGAAATAGAAATAAAAATAACCAGATGGGGTAGTTGGGAATTTGTTGGACAACCGCCAACCATGTGGTGTGTTTGGAATAAAATTTTTTGTAAAAAGGGTTTTGTTTGTGTATGATGGAGTTCTTCAAGAAACTGTGTAGTTACGTGTGTAGTAATAGGTTGTGTAGTGTTGACACCAATAACATCAATAACACCAATAACGCAAATAACACCAATAACGCCAATAACACCAATAACACCAATAACGCCAATAACACCAATAACACCAATAACACCAATAACGCCAATAACACCAATAGCACCAATAACACCAATAACACCAATAACACCAATAACGCCAACAACACCAATAACACCAATAACGCCAATAACACCAATAACACCAATAACGCCAATAACACCAATAACGGCAATAACACCAATAACGCTAATAACGGCAATTAATAACGCCAAAACACCAATAACGGCAATAACGGTATAATAACGGCAATAACGCTAATAACGGCAATAACGCTAATAACACCAAAAACGGCAGTAACGGCAATATTATTATTATTATTATTATTAAAGGAAAATTACATCGCAGCCCTAAGGCTGAATTTCGTAATATTTAATACAATTTCTCAGAGAGAATGTGGATTCGACAGTGTTCCCCAAACGTGAAAAGGGTACACAGTAACCATGTTTATTATTATCAAGGAATTCGTAGGGTGATGTCCGTCATCGGAGACGCAAGGTAAGCTACAATATAAATTAAAACATTTGTTGAAATGAATGATGTAAAAATGAAATAATTCCCGTGATAGCTTCAGTTAGGACTTAGCTCATTGACCCAACCAGGTTATGCACCTATCAATTTAGCCCCAGGGTGGGGTGTCTTACCTAGGGCCAGGGGATCTTGACTTTTTTTGCTACAAAGTGTCAATTTCCCACCCCAGGGCCAGTCTGCAGAGTTAGGCACCTTTCAAGCACCTTTTTGCTTTCCCAAAATTTGATAAGCAGCATATAGCAACCCCTCCATATGGTCAAAGTCCCCACTCTCGTGGCATCTTCAGTGTTCAATTCCCCTGGGTATGCCCCCCCCCATGGGGCTAAACATTGATAGGTGCATTAGTATTCTGTGCAACTATGGTCCAATATTAACAGGTGTTGTTGGCAAACACTAATACATTTAATTTTGATAACCTACAATATCCAATTGGCCACAAGTTGTTGACCATCACGACCATGTCATCAGTTTTTCTACAATATTTCATTTCATTTTGTTTGTTTTTGTTGTAGTTAGTCAAACCAATAAACAAAAAACAACTGTACTCTATGAAATACCAAGAAGAAATACCAATGCTAAAATAAAAATATAAAATTACAAAATGTAGAAATAAGTAAATTATACATACGGATATAATATTATTTGACCAGATAAGAAATGTGACAGGTATTATAGCATACTGTGGTGACCATACTACAGGATACACTTATTTACATTTATGGAATCATAAATATATAACTATATGAAGCCATACTCGTTTAAAATGGCATAAATTTGGTCATGGAATGGCTCAGGAAGATTTACTGTTGTCTTAGTCTTAAGCAACAATGTTTTTTGTAAAAATAGAAAACTACTTGAATTATTCTCCTTTGTAATAATATTCAAAGTGTCAATAGATACTTTGTTTTTTGACATAATAAGCTTGAATGTCAACTTGTCTTCAGTTGCATTTAACCAATATCCCCAAATTTGTTGTTGAGAATGCTGGTTTAGAAGATCAGACATCTTCTCAGGAAAATAAAACAGCCAATAAGCATCTTCTGTGTCAGTATAGACAGGCAGGATGTATCCCTTATGATTAGACAATGATTTATAATTGGCTGCCAAAGCAGTCAATGCATCTTCTGTGAAGCAATTTCTGTAATTTGTTGTTAACAGATTATACTTCACGTCAGTGAGTGCAAGATCTGTGACTTCCATATCACTCTCCTCGATGCAAATTTGGTCAGACACCACTTGTAAAGCTTTTTCTTGGTCAACCACCTTACATAAAATATGTTGAAGTTCAGCTTGTTGGGGGTCGAAAAATCTACGAAAGGGCCAGTTGCAGCCCGCCTGGGCAGCGATGGGGTTAATATGCCATGTGATACTACTAGTTTACCCTGCACACTTAGCTTTTATTGCAAAATTCATAAAAACAAATTTAGCATACATTTCAAATTAAAATACTCACTGTACTTCTTGTTAAACAAGTCTCTTACATCGTTATTAGTGTAGTTTGGACCCCTGTTTGTTGTATCTAAAATAAACATAATATACTGTTGTGTCAAAGTGGCACTACTGACAGCAGGCTAGCATGTGTCACTACAGACTCTACGCGAACGCACAAGATGGCTGTGGGTAGAGTTTGTGCATTGCAATTCTACATAAAGCCCTTTTGTGCATATGTGTAGAGTGTGCACAGAGGCTAACAGCAGATGTGTTCATCCTCAAAGGCCTGGTTGCGAGCATTTAAATTTTTATGCTAAAAATACGCTTACCGAAAAAATTCATGAACTTCAATGCCACTGCATTATCTTGCAGCAGAAACTGTGCTCCTTTTGCTGATCCATACTGGTTAACAGTCCCAGTTCCAGAGTCGTGCATAAGAACTGCTGATTCACATCTCAGGCTTTCAAGATATGTTAGCTAAGAATTAAAGATATTAAAATTATTAAATAATTATTCTATTATAATTAACCCATGGGCTTTTCCATGATGACTGATGAGTATAATCACCTGAGTCCCTTACATGAGATATAGTAAAATCTGTTAAGCCATGGCCAGCAAGGCCACCTATAACTGGCCACAGATTTTATCCTGTCTAATACCAGGCAATTTTACTTGTCACAAGAAAGCTCCCACCAGCAATGAGTTAGTGGTAATGGCAAATAAAATACCATGTAGCAAACAAATTCAAAAATGCAGTCATCATTTTAAAAAATGCATTCATCATCATCTTAACAGGGGTATCCACAGTTATGGTTAGTTATATTTTGGACTACAATATATTATCTTTTCACCTCTTTAATGAGATTTTTTTTTGACTTTGCAATTTTTTTTTTCTCTTCCAATGTTAGCAGTGATGGCACAACTCTTTTAATATTCTTAGCTTCATTCTGCCAAACACTTCATTCACTATCACTCAGAGACTGCCACTTTGTAGCAACAAAGGTCATTTTCTCAGATTTTGACTCAATTTCCTTACATTCATCTACAAAGAAAATGACATACACTGTAGTCATTGATGAACATTCCTCACTAATTAACCAGTTGCCAGTGAGGCCGGTGGCAACAAGCAGCTCGATAGATTAAGCTGCTCAACAGATTTTACCCTGTCTAGCACCAGATGATTGCAGTGGCATAGCCAGCCCGACTATTTTGATCATGCTATGCAAATTTTTCTATGTTTATATAGATTTTTAAATAAATGAATAAATGAAAATATTGCATTGCATGACCAAATAGTTGGGCTGGCTACGCCACTGAATTGCACTCATCATGCAAAAACTCCAGCCAGCAATGGGACCGGGTTAATCTCCCAAAGATGCTGTATTACTAACACCAGTCGTAGAACTTACAGCTAGTTACAAATACATGTAGTATAAATAAGCTTTTTTATCCAGAGCTTTTCATATTGCTATGCTCTCATACCTGAGCTGAGGAGTTTTGATGTAAATATGTTGAAACCTGAAGTTGAACGCTTTAGCGGAGGACCTTTAACAACATGGCTTTCTGATTGCCCAGTATCTTCTTGCATGGTTTCTACTCCTTCCACTACTTTTCTTTTCCTTCTCTCATTTCCAATCCACTTCTGTAACATTATATATGTAATATATTTTTACTTTTAATTAGCCAAATTTGAAATTTCCAAACACTGTATAAATTGTTTTTCTAGCCAATTTAAAGTAGGTCAGGTAGGGGAAGGGACATGTCATGGCAAAAGACTTTCGATGGGAAAGCAAAATCACATGGTGATAATAATAATACTACATAAAGAACACATTTATCATTCGTTGGAATCTGCCAGGGCAGTGAGTATACAGTATATTATTCACAGTTGATCACATTCGGCGCGGCCATACTTTATCATACTATGAATTTATGCAAATTAAGCAATGGATTATGGATTATTCATGAATTTTAATAAACTGTCCGGAACTGTTCGGAATTTTTATACCAGCACAATGTCAATACCTATTGTCCTATTTCAATAACTGTATTAACGAGACAGTATCAGTGTGAATGAGCGAAAGGGGATGTGTATGTGACTATGTCATACACGATTTTTATCAAAAAATATTAAACAATATGATTGTAAATGTTACCTTAACTCTTTCGTAGCTTAACCCAACCTCATCAGCAGCTCGCATTATCGTTTTGTGCATATCCTTTGCTGTAGTTTTCATACCGCTGTCATAAAAAGACCTTAGGACACGCTTTTGCTCGTCAGTTAAAACATCATAACTCCTCGAATGAGTCGCCATATTGACAAACCGCGCAATAGAGAAAAAAATACGTAGAGCTACCTTAAATGAATACCTCACAGGATGCTTAGGTGATCACCTCTGTCACATATATCCGACGTTCTAAAATTTAGAACTCTCGCTATATGTGATTTAGAACACGAGGAACGGGTGATTGAGAGCAGTGCGTAAAACGAAAAACTTCTAATTTCCATGTGCAGACCGCTGAAGAAGACTGAGCCCTTTATACTGGGCGAAAATTTGCCGAATATGACCACCGTGAATTAACTAATCGTTTAATAATTTTAAAAGGAAAGCAAAGATTCCATGGTTTTGGAATGAATCTCCAGCATACTGGCACCATTTGTCTACGACATGGTCAAGCGATTCTGGCCACTGGAAGATATATCTCGATGGTTCCTTGGTCTCCATTATGCATGATGTAGCTTCAAGTATTACCTTTCATGCAGAAGAAAGACTTTCTCTACGTAAGTGCTATGCTATTTTATTTATTATGCTCAGTGGATGATTGCTCAAAAGCCGGTTAACGCTGACCGAGGGTTAAAAAGGCTAAAAATTGATGTAAATGTGTTCCCTAACTCGATGAAGTTTATCAATTTCGCTAAGTGATTTTACGCCATTCAAGTTAAATATTCAACAATAATAATTTTAGTAGGCAGAAAAAAGAAAATTTGTAGGGTCGTGAGGCATTGTGGTTTTGCGCAGTTACATGCATGCGCATGATCCATGAATTCGTCTAACTTCACCACATGTGGTTTGGCTGTAAGTTGTTTTCGTATCGTGCGACAAAAAAGAAACATATAAGTTACGAGGTTGTAACAAAATTCTATAATTGTATACCTTTCTACTGTAATTTGTTTCACTATAAGTTTTAATGTTCACTCATCTATCCGTGATATTTGCAATAATAGTACTGTCAGGATAACTCATGATTTGATGCGCATTCGAAATGTATAGTATCAGTTTATACTCTCTTCGATTTGTAAACGATAAAATTAAGCCACAGTTTAATGCTTTTAAAAATAATCCACGTATACCTGTAATTGCCTGGTAACATTATTGACATTTGACTGGCTAAGACAAATGAAACGCTAATCAGAATCAAGTCGAAATCTCCTACTTTAATCTTGCGACGTGTTAATCTTGATCCTTATTTGCTTCCGTGCTGTCGAACGGATGTAAAAAGCGTGCTTTGACTGCCCTGTGTTTCGAAGAGTAAGAGCACGCATAGAGACGTGAGAGAATTTAAAAACAATGCGCAAACAACTGCACACAACCACTGACAATGCCCTTCGACCCTAAAAATTTCCTTTTATACTGCCTTCTGCTGAAAAAAATCCCACTATTTATTTACTGTATACATCTCCTGCGATAACATGATATTTTAGAGCAATTAAGATCAGGATTGCTTTTAGCAGAATTAAACTTGACAAATCAAACTATAAAGGGTATGACTACGTAAAATACTACCTCTGAAATGATAACAAGTCGTATTCTTGTAATAGCCTATGTAGTTTTATTCGCTTATAACGCCCACAGAAACTCCTACCTTGCAGGTACACTAATATGGTCACTTAAATTTTAGATGGTGGTATGGCGCACAATAGCCATCAAAGCAGACTTAATGTTTGGAGCTATGAAATTGATGGCCATGCTTTATCATTAATGGCAAACAAAGGACCATTGTTTGAAAACGGTAATGTCTTCGCGTGGTATGGAATAAAGTCCAAGGTTGCGGCAAGCACAGTCTTCCAAGAAACCTCGAGTGATCTACACAACTCTCGTAAGTATGACCTCTCCGTTGGCCATGTTTCCCAGAAACGAATTGAAACGAATACATTCATATAAAATTTATTAAGTTAAGCTCCAGTAGGTCATCAGTGAAAATGACTGCAGGATTACAGCATTTGATTCACTTTATACCGATATGCGGATTTCAACCAAAAAGTATGCGTAATCCAAGCATACCTCATGAAAATCGTTTGTCTAAAACAACAAATGATACTAAATTGCCTTTAGGCTGGTAAGATTATAGACTGTAAGAGGAAAGCTGGGAAAATGTTAAATCAGCACCCGAAGACAACAATAGGGAACTCTAGCAGCGACTACAAGTACGACTACGAGCATATACGAAATTCGTCATTATCACGCGTTGTTTGCATACGCCAAAAAACAAAACTCGTAGTCGTTGCAATTTTGAGTACGATATTTGACAAAAAACTCGTACTCGAAAGCTCGGCGACTACTAGTTTTGGCTGATGGGGTAAGCGAAAATGCGCGAGAATGACGAATCTCGTACTCGTAGTCGCTGCGAAATCTCCTTAATAGTAAAAAAATTAAGAATGACAGTTCAGCTCATCATTATTACCGTTCTGAATGATGCTATTTAATTTCCCTCCCAAACGTCAGTCGTCTGAAATTTCAACCACTTTTTCCAGTCCGTTGCCGTTTAATTTCCTCTTGTGACTCTAAAAATCCAACACACACAGAAATGTCAAGTTGAACGTTAACTGTTGCGAATATTATCACAATATTGAAAATCAAATTTCATAAAAATGCTCTTGGGTGAGACAGGCTAAATGAATAATTAGCCTGCTGCTTATCAACTTTTCTTGCCAGGGTCGGTGTCTGTATACCAGATGGATTTTCCCTCCCCTTCAAAAGAGAACTACGTAATAATAAAAGACGTTGTCCATGAAGAAATCACGGTCTTCTCCATTTGTTTTTGGGCAAAATTTTTACGCGCATATGCTGGTGTATTTGCCTACTCAAGTCCAATGTATGATAGTGAAATTGATGTCTTTCTATTTAATGACTTTGTATTGGACCTCTCTATCCAGCAATCGAGGAAAAACGGGTTAGTAATGGACATTTGTTTCTCAATTTCAATATAAAAAATCATGCACAACAAATATTAGCTACTCTATAGAAAGCAATTAAATTACATAATCCATGTTACCCACCACCAAAATAAAGACAAAAAGTTCGACATTATAAATTACGCAAATCCGGAGATTTGATCAGCCTCCGGAGATTATTCAGCAATACTTTGTTATTCGCGAAAGTGAGTGCAATTAAGTGAGCTTCAGCAGCAAAGTAAACTTCCGAACCGTAAATGAATCAATGTTTATTACCGTGCATTAAAACAAAATTCTGAAGAAGGTTTACGAATTACGTCTGACTTGTTCTCTTTCGACTCCTGCTACACAAAAATCATGATGTCCCAGACGCACAGAAATGCCAAATAGTTCATTATACGTTAACTATTGCGAATCTTCTTCACAACATTGTAAAATCAGATCTCATACTCGACGTCCAATCCTGGTGAAAACATTGACGACACTCGGTGTTAATTGACACTACAATCAGCAGTCAAGGAATAGATTTTAAAATTCTCCCCCTTTCCTCATCAAATCAAAGTTGGGTGATGTGTCAAAACTCATTCAAGCATTTAGCATGGACTCAACATTCATTAAGGGGGCGAGGGGGAAAATCGACACAGAAATGTTGATGTCTTGCGTAAAAAACTAAAAATCAATTAGAGTGTATAGTCAAGGGTTTTGGCGAGGATTGTATGCCTGACCGAGAAAGGCATCAATTAAATTGTATTGTATTTCTGTCTTTAAGGCCTGTGATTTCCAACCACACATCGTGGCATTTTTATTGCCTGCAGTGGAGAAGCAGTGATGGTTTAGTCCAGACTTATCAAGATGGAAAAAAACTGGGAACGAATCACAAAGCGACAGGTTCCACAATACCTTCCAAAGGCATCGTGGTTCTCGGCCAGGAATTGGATTCTTATGGCGGAGGTTTTCAGAGCGCACAGGCATTTCAAGGAAGCCTCGCAGGGTTAAATCTCTGGAGCCAATTTTTGACAGCAAATATTATACAAGGAATTGCATCCGGGGTCCTGAATGTTAACGGAAATCTTCTCCAATGGAGAAATTTCAGAAATCATACATTTGGTATCGTTACTGTACGACATGGATCCGAAGCAGAGATTCCAGGTACTTTGTGATAATTTTATAATATCATTTTTATTTATTATTTTAGTTGCAATGAATAAGCAATTCATGCCTTTGAAACAGTATTTCTTTTCCGTTCCCCGTCAGAGACACGATTGTCAGCCATTCTTGACAAAATGCAAACCCATGTGTAGGATCACGGATGTTCATTTTTCTAGCATCACCAGAAAAAAACAACAAGAAAAACACCAGTGGCCGGTGATATGAAACCCAGATAGCACTATCCACCGGTAGTGATTTTTTCAACAATTCTAAAATTGCTCGAAAAGTGATAAATTTCAGCTTTAGAAAAAACATTAATTAAAGAGGATCTGTAATTTAGGAATACTAAGATTTGATCAAAATTATGGCAAACAACGGGCGATTTTAAAGCGATGAATAAATAGCGCTATCCGACTTTCATACAACCGGCCTTAGTAATGTTGTTGTACACACCCACAATAAACTTTTCTCAAATAGAAACATGCTTCACAATTCTTTCAGAATATCGAGTACAGAGTCTTCGAGATCAGTGGTGTGCGAAAAACATCACTGAAGTTTTCACTTATGCAAGATTTGTTATCGGTGCGGACACAGATGGCTACAGGTGGCGATGTGTTGCACCTGCGGCCATGTTGGATGAAAATATGTGTTACAATATCACTAAGAGTTCATCTTTGTACTATCCCATGGACACGAACGAAGACATTTTCGGAAATAATTGAAAAATATTTCCTTGACATAAATAACTGATATACGTATAAATTGGTTCCAATATAACAGGGAGCAGCGTGACAGCGTCTTCGAACATTTAACTTCGCGTCAAATCAGGTATAACGACTTAAGAGAGGTAGTAACTGCATACTAACTCTCCTGATGAAAGCCCTCAGGTTAAAACGTCGAGAAGTATTTTGTCTATTTTAGGCAGTCGTTATACTAAATTTGATGCTACATGTAAATAGGTAAAATAGATGCGATGTATTTAAAGTTATGATTTTGTCCCGACCGTCGGTAATAATTTTGAACTGCTTTACATGCAATTACCAAAAATTTTGGGTTAGAGCTGGCGTCATCTGATTGAATATATAACCGTGTGAATCACTATGCAGAACCACAACGAAATTTTGCACAACGCACTCTTCGCATGTGGTTTTTGGATCGACGCACTAAGATGATCATTTTCCACTAAGGTTAACATCCACACAAAGTCCTTATTATTATTATTATTATTAAACTTTATTTACACACGGTATTCTCAATCAGGATTTTCATGCTGACAAATGACAAGATTATGAATTACAAAATAAGACTACAAAAATATTTACAATGATAAATCAAACTAATAATTAATATACCTGCTTTTCATGAGAGCCGTGTAAGGAATATATACAAGAAATATAATATAATACAAATGTGAATGTAGATTAAAATAATTTGGAACAGCCCGCTTTAAAATTTGATAGGTTATTTGCTAGCCGTAGCCCAATCGGTAGGCTGTTCCATAGCATCGCACCACTATAACTAAAACTATTCTTGAGATAGTTTGTGCGAGGCTTAGGAACAGCCAGCTTACTATTTGTGTTTCTCAACGAATAAGGATTGACACTGTCACGGTTTACAAACATGGAACCCATGTATTGTGGAGCAAGTCCATTGAGTGATTTATAAACCATGACAGCCTTTTGAAACTGGCGTTGGGAAGATAACTTTTTCCAGCCAAGTCTATCGAGTAAGATGTCGGCATTAGTGTCATAGCTTGAAAAGTTCAAAACTCTCGCTGCGCGATTTTGTAGTTCTTGAAGTTTATCTGCCAAGGTTTTATTGCAATTCTCCCAAACTGTACAGCAATAATTGAAATATGGCTGGACAAGGGAATTAAAAATTAAATACAATGTTGCAACTGGGACAAATGAACGAACGAGTTTTAAAGCGCCAATACCAGAAGCAATTTTTTTTGTTAATTCCTTGATCTGTATATTCCAAGATAGATTTTCATCAAGGTGAACTCCTAGAGATTTTGTATGTGAAACCTTGTATATAGGAATTCCGTCTATTTTAAAACATGGGTCTGATTGGAAAGTAGCTATTCTTTGTCGTGAGCCAATTAGCATAAATTCAGTTTTGGATTGATTCAAATATATCATTCCTTCGTATATAATTACCATCACATCATAAACTATTAAAATGGAATTGATTTAGCTTTGATCAAAATAAACGAAATCTTTTTCTTTATGTATTATGTTGCATGTATCCAAAGAGTGCAAACTATTTAAAATATCGGAAAGCACGAGCCGCAAAGCGCTCAAAACGCCAGCGCACATTACAAGAACTTTCTTACGCCAACCATCATGAGTGACGCTCAGCGGATAGCTCCAGTGGCCGGCGGGCTTTAAGGATGGCTTAGCTAACAACAGAGCAAATTAAAGAATTTTCCTTGTTTTGCATTACACAGAAACGCAAAATACAGCTGAGGCATAGAACATATTTTATCAACGGTTCCCTGAACGAAATCTACCACTTAAATCAACCATCACCAAAAAACGTCCAAAAGCACTCTACCGAGGAAACGAACCTAAATCTCAACAAAGGCAATTCTGGTCGTCGGAGAACATCATGCACGATGTGCGTAAAATATGGCTGCTGTTTGAGATTTACTTGAGTGCTCACACATCAGCGCCAGTCGCAATCCTCTCGCTGTTTCGTGGCTAAACATAGCTATAAAGCTATATAATGTGCTAGGCCTTTATTAGTAAAAGAATCATCCACCACTTTCTACGCATTTTTGACGCTACTTACTTGCGCCTTAACAGTTCGATTTCAGTCTTTCGGATTACGTAACATAGATGGTGAAAAAAACAATTCACCAAAAGCTTGTCCTAACCAGCTTGCCGTCCGCACGAACCCCGGGGACGCGATCTGATGAGCTACATATTCAATTATAGATTCTGATTTGTTAATGCGTTAAATTAATAATGATTGTGATTCAAATAATGATTGTGATGCATGACGTTAGACCGCAAAACTGGGTCTTCGCTACGGCAAATCTTCTCTTCAATTGGAGAAACAGTGTTGGTAGGGCATGGGCGTTTTATACTTGTTCTGTCCCGTTTGTCTACAGTCGTGGTTCTCTTTCAGGCGTTCTTCAATGTCAGATATTTGTGATATTAATGCACGCCGCTTCTTTAGAGCGTTCACACAGCTTCGGCATATGTACTGGCTTTGTTCTAAACCGACATTGAACGGCAAGCTCTCACGTTCAGACTGTATATTTCCCTTACTCCTTCCTTGAACTAAATATCTATCTTTCGCTCAGCTAAACGTTTGTTGGCAGAGGACACAAAACTGCGAACTTGCCGAAATTTCAATGATACAATGATCTACATAAATCCCGATGGCGCATAATTTCACACAAAATTTCCGCATTGGCAGAAGTAAGCTGCAACAAATTGTAAACAAATTATTTCGACGAATAAATTATAGAACATGGATTTCGGCGCTGATGCGCAGACGCTATATTACAATAATTCCATTTATACAATAATTCGATTTATACAATAATTCGATTTATAATAAGTATTACTATAGTATAATAAACGTTATAAATATTGGTCATTTAAATCGGCAGTGTTTAAGCAACTTGGGCAGGTGGTCAAAGGCGATACACTCAAGAATGAAGTTAGGAATTCTGGTCCACAATGGGGGGCATGGGTTCGAATCTCACACCTTACATTTATTCACTAATAATAAAATAAGTACTGCTATATGTTTTTAAAAAAAATTTGGTGAAATTGCAGCTATCGTTTCCCCGTCGATAACGTGGAACAAAGCGTGGGTTCGCATATCAAACTCTTTCCCTATTGAGATGAACATTTGCTCAAACTAGTTTGCAGTTTTTTCTGTTACAAAATGCGCGCCTTGTAAAACAGTATGGTGTCTAGACCAAAGCGCACATTATGCAAACCTCAATGTTTTGTCCACAAATTTGCAGTTCGATCTGGAAAAAAATCAATTAAACGGAGGCGAAAGACAATAACCTCTACGAGGTTGAGATTAAAGAGATTGATCTAAAAAATAAACGTGTTCGTACGCATTTTAAAGGATACGATTCGCGTTTTGATGAATAGCGACCCTATGGGCTATGGCAAAAAACTAGATAATATATTTTCAGTTTCTTCAGCATGAAAAGCCTTGTGTTTTGGCCGCCGCGTCAATATAGATGATACATCACGATAGAGCCGATAATAACAATAACAATAAAACCTTTTGATTAAAATTTGCCCTTACACGCGCACGTAGCCGATGTGAACGATATTAATGTCCCTTATTCCAGCATGTTATATAATATATACACAATATATCAATAAGAAAATCATTAATGTGTACTGTAGCAGTGTAGGCTATTGCCGACCTATTTACAGTATATATTTAGACAGTATTTGTCAGGCCTAAAATTTGTCAAAATATACACAACTGTGGTTTTAAACAGTACTATATCAAAGCATACAAGGTGACTGAAAAAATTAAGATAAAATTATCTTGCCTGGTTATCTCGTAAGTAAACGGCGGGCCACCATTCTGATCGTGTTCACATCACCAACAGCAGAGACTGCTTTAATTAATGTGTGCAAATGCCACCCGTTCCTCGTGTTCTAAAACACATATGCTGACTATTCTATGATTTAGAACGCCAGTTATATCTGTACCAGGTGATCACCTCGCTAACCTGGCCGAGGAATTTTCATAGGTCTGGTAATCACTTCTGCTAAGTTAGAGAAAAACATGGCCGACAGGCAGGGGCGGCGTGTTGTAAAACGATTACATTCTTGTAAAATTCGTGTGAAAACGAAGTCGACTACTGGAAAGAAGTTCTCTAGAGCTATACCTCTATTAGCTAATAGATATTCTCGTCTGTCCGATAACACTCCTGGCACAAATGTGAACACAGAACCAGATGTATTTTCCTCGGAAGACTTCAATGACAATGTAGACACTTTTGACAAAACTCACAAAACCACATATCCATCTCTGTCTAAGCATCATCAACGCCGCATTAAGAGAACAATAGTTGGAACGCCATAAGGCAAAGTCTCTTAGAAGCTCGGCTTGAAGAAGAAGCATTTGATTCTGATACTGAAAGATGTGTAGCGTGTCAGAAGAATCATGCATGTTGTCGGTGTGTGGAATGTGGTCGAAGGCAGTATTTTTGTCTTGATTGTGCAAAATCAACCCACGAATATCGAAATTATTTCCATCAACTGGAAATATTTAAGGTTTGCAAATATTTAAATAATATTTAATGAGTGGTTTACAGGCTTAATACTCTTTCACAGTTTCACAATTAATATGTACATACACTGTAACTGTTGTAAACCTTCAAATTAATGAAATTATTAGTCCACAAACAGCAAGTGTTGCCGAATATTTTGTTATATTTTAAATACCATACAAGGGGAAAGTGTTGTGAGTTGTAACAGGCATATACTAATTGTAATAGATTATATGTGTATGATAATTATTAACTGCAGTAAACTTGTGTACCTACAAGCTAACATACTGGAATATTATATATATATATATATATATATATATATATATATATATATATATATATATATATATATATATATATATATATATATATATATGTGTTTTTTTATGCCTAGGATAGCTGTTTTGTGCCATTAATGATGAATCACTCTGTGTTGTCTTTGCCTCATCAAAAAAACTGTCCTTGTGCAGAAGGAAGACTTGTTATGTGTATAGATCAGAATGGTGAGTTTTCGTAGTATGTTGCAGTATTTAACAGTCTGTATAAAGGTGTAATTGAAATGTTATTGTAGATTTGTAACAAATAGTAATTTACTCTGCATGTTATGTAATTAAGTCCCTGATAGACAATGTATTAACAGTCTTTAAAAACTGGATACAGTACTTTCATCAGTACAGTACTGACAGCTAACTTTTTACCAACTATAGTCTAGGGCCGAGGAACCATTTGGAAAGTGGGAGGTGGGGCAAGATTGTGTCCAGAGTAGAAGTGCATAATAAACAATAAATGTATTACTACCATTTGAGAGTTACCATGCAGTATCCATATTCATTACATCAATAAACTTTCAGTTTATTGATCAAAATTTTAAATTTTGGGATATGTATATATGGAGGTTATGTTTTTTGGAGGCACCTTGTATGTGCCATTATAATGTACAAATATCATAATTTAATTATACTACAGGTTACCGGCACAAAAAAATGGTTTTGTTCTGTCCGTGTGAAGATGATGCTGTATAACCCTTGTGAAACTACAATTATGGCCTGGTTCAGCAACACGACCATTAGTTGCTTTCCACTTCAAACTTTTGATGATGGCTGAAGCACTTCTATTGGAGTGTCATGTATCTCTTAAGAAGTTTTGTGATATGTTGAAGTTAAATAAATCAAACATGCTACCGAAATGGGTGAGAACCATATCCAATCTGAATCATAGTCTAGTACAGCGTTTAGTTTAAATGGTGGATAAGTTCTAAATGGAAAACAAAATGATCTATTATTAGAACTTATCCACCGTTTAAGCTAAACGCCTTTCGAACAACCGTGTGTGACAATGTGGTGTGTAACAACATATGTATATACTGTATGAATATTTAATATTTCTATAGGTTAAAAATGTTTATAAAGTATTAAACAGCGATTTGTTTGATGAATTTCGGTAAATATTTTAGTTATATTTCATTAAATCAAATAGTAGTGTTATAATACAAGCTGTGCATGCTTTGTGTCTAATTGATGCAGTACATTCATACCAATCAACTATTAGTGGCATTAATGTTTGCTATCCACATGTGTAGACATTTGTGAAATATAGTTTAGTGTTTATATTATACTTAACCTTTACATTTATTCTTTTACATATTGTAGGTATTACCAATACTTATTTAGGACTATGAGACCATATCTTCCAGAGCCTACCCTTGATAGGGAGTGTCCTCTTTGTCCTGATATGAGTGTGCAGTAAATATTTTTTAATGTAATTTGATTAAGCACAATAGACATAAATTATATGTGCTTAAGAGCTATTTGTAACAACATTTGCATGAAAACAGTGAAAACAAAATGGTAGAATTGCCTATTATACATTTATAATAACGTCCAAATATTGTAAATTTTAATTTCCATCACAGTATGTGTTTGCATTGAATATTTATTTCAAAGCTTTTCAACTCATAAGAACGGATCACGACATGATATAAGGATTATACTTATACTACTACCATAAAAAATAACTCCATCAATCTCATTGAACAAACATTGTTTCATTTCATCAAGGGGAAAACAGATGGTACTCCACTTGAAAATGTCATGATCGAATCTATGGATGGATATTTTGGGCTGACCAGAAAAAAATCAGCTGGTGCAAATGTAATTCCTCCTAGGCACTGTGATACCTTTTTTGCCAGTTGCAGTGAAGTGGACAGCTATGTTGACGACTATTCTAGAGATGCTAAAGAAGCCCCCACGGTTAAAAAATTAACTAATCTTTTCAAATTTTAAATTGCATATATAATAGTAAAATGTCGTTAGATTTATATAAGCATGGGGTAACATTAAACCTCTCTATTTGAAAACACTTGACTTACGCTGAAGATATGTGTATATATAAATATGAATGTACATCACTTTTCCAACAAAAAGATATTCGAGTCCCTGGTTTAGTGAGCTCCCAGACCTATATGAAATTATACAGTGTGTTCTTTTATATTTTAAAGGATTGTAATGAGTTTAAAGCTGGAGAGGTGGACAATATGTTGCGATCAAAAGGAAGGAACAAGTTGTTTGACGAAAAAGGCGTGTTTGGGCGGGTCTGTAGACACGAATATCCTAAAGGTTTTATCAATATGAAGCATGGCGAAAGGTAAACTGTTTTTCCATGTTTGCACGCAATCTCGGGGAACGAGATTGTGTTTGCACGTTGTCAACTCCTCATGGTAACGGCCAGGTTACCTAATAACAATGTCTGATCAATGTCTGTTCATGGTTTTTATAGAATTGCGTACTCAATGTTTGAGGTAGAACGTTTGCTCTCCTCATGTACAGAATGCGTAGATGTCAAGATTACGTACGATATAAGTTGCACTTTAAGCGCTCACTTGAAGGTAACGGCTTATTGGTGATTGCCTAACTCATGAAAAATGGCGACGTTTTCCATGTATAAAAAAATTTGTGTTTATGTCATAAATTTCAATAATAACTTCTTTGACTTTGTACATACTGTATATATAAGGTATTCTGTACTGTGCTACACAAGATCGAATTACAGTGCATGTAAATATATACTTTTAAATTTATAATTTTACTTTTTTTGTTTGCTCTTTCAGAAGAATGACAAGAAAGATATCATCTCAAAAGTAGATTTAGCTATACCTGTGTTCCATTGTTATGGCCACAAATCGTCGTGTCAGGTTTGTAGATACTGTACATACCTTACTGTATGTAATAGTTCAAGAACAAAAATTTTCTCTGATTTCCGAACACTAAAGGAGTTGAAAAAAGTTGATGATTAACGGATTTTTAAAAGTACATCCTAAACTGACGCGTATGTTCCTGGAAATCAATTTGATAGTTGAGTTGGCTTAACGCCTGCCAATTCCCAACGTTCTTTCACTCCCCAAAAATATAAGTAGTCTGGAAAGCGATGTATTCTGTCAGTACGTAAAGGTTGTATATTGTTCGCCGTTCTTTTCTATACAGATTGCTTTCAGTCCCAGAAGAATGACCAACTTTGGGCTCACTGATGGCGAAGGAATTGAGAGACTATGGGCATACCTGAGAGGATTTGCTTCTATGACTAAAGAAATGACGACTGGACGTCGAGTCGACACATTAACTGATGCGCTTCTTCATTACGCTCAGCATAGGATCGATCAATTCGGTAAACATATCTTTTTTTCAACTTAGTGAAACTCTGGTCCGAAGAAGAGAAATCGCTGTTGTTGTCAAAAACCAGTAAGATATTATAGAAACTTTGCGTTTTGCGTGTTGTATCTTTAGTAATATTTGTTTCAAGAGAACATTATTTCAGTTAAATTTTTGAGAAGAAAAAAAGAAGAAAAAGCTAATGATTGGTTATTTTCCATAAGAAAAGAAAACATTGCCTGTGACATGGGAAGCAGATTATGTTCAGAATTTGTCGTATTTGCAAGAACTTGGGTTTGTGTAACTTCCTTTACTTGGTAACTTAATCCTTACCTAGAACGTTTTGTCAAAAATTGTACATTTCTAATTGTGTAGACACAGTATTGCCGCCCAAGATGCTGAAAATCATGATGCCATTAATGATTTAGTAAGGAAAAGAAGACGGTGAGTCTTACTCATATGCTCATATGATACTCATATGCACGATTATTATTCAGAAAAATCATTTTACCAACATTTGGTTTTAAGAACATTGAAGACCGTTGAATCGATGGAGCGAAAACATCACGTCATAAGAAGGTGGAAAGTTGGCGACGTTAAGTACAATACAGCTGTGCGATCTCTTGAAGAAGATAGAAAGAACCGCGTGTTGGAGAGCTTGTACTCTTTGGCAGTCGAACGGGCGTTTCTACTGACGTTAAAGAAAAAATACGCAGGTACACTATGCATGCATGTGTATGTTTATTCTTTAATATGCAGCGCACATGCAGTACGGAATGTTTTAGATTTAAAATTTGTTATTGTACAGTCAGACACGTAAATTTCCTTTGGCAGGATTTTCGGTTTTTTTTCTTGATAATAATTTACTCTGTAAAAATTCTAATATTTTCAGACGGTCAAAAGATCGCAATAAAGCTCAGTAGGCAGATCACGAAAAAGACAAACACGCTGAAGGTTTCAGTAGAGAAGTACAATGCCTCTCTAGCATATTTGGTGTGATCGTATTGAAGGACTCCCGAGTTTTCTTGCGTTTGACGATGTAAAAGATCCAGAATCCTATCTTTTTCAAGACTTTAAAAGTATTGACGACGACGAAAACAACGTTCCGTTCTCTGTGAAAAGAACTGTAATCGATCTTCACTGCCTTACTGAAAGATGTAAGGAAGAAATTGAGTTAATAAACATCGAGGTAGCAAGGTTGGTTAAGTATCACTTGGTAAGAAAGGCCACATTCCAGGAAATCGTCGAGAAGCACAACGCAGACCATGCCCTTCACATGAGAGGTCTTTCGTGCGTCATGCAAAAAAGGGCATATGAAGAAGAAAATAAATTGTACTTGCTCCGTCAAACACTTAGTGATAGTGTATTGGAAGTGTCGTCTTTACCTCAGCATAAGTACGGGTTTTGCAACGTCATCGAATATAATTCCAGCGATTGTGGGGAGTCGTGCACGAAATCAGTAGATCATGATTCTGAGAGTGACTCTGAGTGTGAAAGTGATGATGATGATGTGTATGAATTAGCAGCCTCAGATGAAGATGATGATGACGTATTGCCCCCTTAATAATACAATTATGTAGCGTACAATATTATGTTTAGTCTATATAAAGATGCATACATTTTTCCCAGGTCCTTTTCCATCGTCACAACACCATTGGAATGTCTTTCCCACGAACATTTTCCCAAAAATTACGTTATTAATAATAAATATACACTAACTATGGTGAAATACACAATTTGATTGGTCGACACCTGTTCAAATTTCGTTGTTTCCCTGTCATTTTTCCGTTAAACAAAATTGTACAAAATTTATCCTATAGTGCACATAGTTAATCAGTTGTATATATAAATATGTTATGATAATCAAATTACATGCCTAAATGTTTTTATATGCATTACAATGTCTTGCATTACAGTCGTGCCATTACAAACCTTCCGAAAAATGTTGACCACTGACCAGTTCATTTCCTAACTTGAAGGAACACATCTGAATAATTCCTCAACGCTTCTATTGGCACGACTGTTAATTAGGCTGGGGTAACTTTTGCTAATGTGCTACAAGAATGTCATAAACTAGACCACTTTGGTCATTTGGACACACTGTCGTCATTTTTTGTCAATTCAAAAATAATGCTATCTTTGTGTTCCATAATCTTCTTGATCTGGTCAGCACCATAGCCGTTTGGCTTTCTAAGTGGAATATCATTTGGAAGGCCAATGATCTTAAACCCTCCTTTCGTATACGGAACTTTTGATCCTGGTTTCCCACATGCCTCACCTAGAAATATAAAAAATTGTAAAATATGCAATTTAACACACTAAACCATTTTTGGATAATATGGCAAGATAGACACATTGACTGAGATGCGTATAAATGCTGTCCATGCCTGAAGAACCGGCTTGATGGTTGCCGTCCGGTCACTGGGCTAAATTAGGAAAAAAACAGTTGTTTCTTCTGTGTGTACACAATTAAGTGTGCAAATGCTTATGTACATTTAATTGTATACTGACGGACCCTAACCCACAGACAGGCAGTACGCCCATTAAAAACACATTTACGCACTGTATTTATTGTTGAACAATTCTTGGATATCTTTACGCGTGAATTGTGCACTGCCACTGGGACTATCCGCATCTGCAATACAAGCATATTCATGTTATGGCAAGTTTACAAGGGATTCGTTTTCATATTTCCACGAAACCATGCAATATTTTGTACACACTACCATTAAAGTGTGCCATAAACTTCAAAGATATGCTCTGATTTTGTAACAAAAATTGAACACCGTTTTCGGAACCATATTGGCTTATTGATCCACTCTCAGGCTCCAATAATAATAAAGCTGTTTCGCATCCAATTGTCTCAAGATATGAAATCTAAAAATATAAATAAAAAAGGCGTACCGGTACATTGACATTGTGCACAACACTACTACCTACTCGGTACCGTACAGTACGTATACATACATATATGGTCATGGATCCATGGAGTATGGCTATATTATAAGATCAAATGATGAAAATATAGTCAAGTCGTTTTAATTTACTCACTTGCTTGATAAGATTTTTTGTTTCCCTTTTAATTGCTTTTTTTTTCTCTTCAACAGACATGGTCTTCGGATCAGCCTTTCCAAGTTTTTGAGCTTCATGGTTCCATTTTTTTCTTTCTTCTTCACTGATGTCTTTCCATTTGGACGCAGCCAATTTCATCTTCTCTTGATTAGAAGACGTTCCTTTCAAAGCATCTACATAAAAGAGGAAAAAGTTTATACTTTTATTTATTCACAAATTTAGAAACTTAACAAAGGAAACCGTAGTACCTACAAAATACAGTAGTTTAATATACAGAGCAATAATCAATATAACAACATGATAAAAACCACACAAAAAGTAGAATACTCTTCTCACCTGAACTTAATAAGTTTGAAGTAAACATGTTGTATCCTGAGGCCATGCGTTTTATTGGAGGACACTTAGTGTATTTTGACATGTCTTGCTCTAGTGCTGCAGGTTCAAAGTTTCTTTTTCTTCTCTTCTTTCTTTCATTGCCAATCCACTTCTACACATTAATAGAACAAGACAAATTTATCATTAGTCAAGATTTGTCTTGTTGTACGTGTGTCAGTTTAAATTACTTCATTACTAACCAGTGAATTATACAATGAAATTTATTGCAGATTATTAGTGCATGATGTTTAAATTATAGAAATTTAAAAAATAATGTTAATTAACCAAAAGGTAAATAATAAAATCACTTCAAAATACCAGTTACATGTACCACAGAATACCAGTTTTTTCGATAATTGTAAAAAAATTGCTTGATGGTTAAATTGATTATACTTGTAGGCAAGGGCATAACCGGAACAATAATGGGAGGTGTTTATAATTAATTCACATATTCAGTTCTGACTTCTTCCCTAGAGATTTCTTTGGTAAGTGCAATAGCTTACAAAAGAAATCTGTAGGGCACTGAACTGTATATATGAATAAATACCCTTCCCCCTAATTGTTCTATTTACCCCACTGCTTGCAGATGATTCCCCTAGGCTAATAATGCCATTAATGCAGAAAAAACAACAAAATTTATCAGTTCTTTTTGTTTGCTCAGTTGCTTCATATTCTGGCCAAAAGACTGTATAAATCAATATCAATCATTGTCAATATCATCTAAACTTAAATACAAACTTACACTAAAGTTAACTCATCAAAGACTTTGAGTAAAATTTTTTGCCATTTCAGATAGAGTAAAGGAACTACAGTACATAAAGGGTACAATACAGTGCTTTCACAATTTAAATTGCATACTTTTTACTGTGGGGGAGCCTGTCTTGACTTTTGAATAACCAGACATCCTCCCTCCCTCCTCCAATCCTCCCTTCCTTTGATAGAGTCAAACTTTTCTAAGGAAATTTCTTTAGAGAAGCGAGAATGCTGGTACAATAGTTCATTTATTTTTTTTATCCCATCAAGGCATGGATTGTTGAGCATTTTTCGTTTTCAGGAAAACTAATAATCATTATTATCAATAATTTGGCTTTGGGGTAAAACAACAAAGGGTGTATTAATTAATTGTTAAATAGTATGGGTATAAATATAACTAATTTTAGATACATAGGTCACCTGCTTCCTTGCGGATTAAGTTTATTGATTGTATTGCATTGTTTCATTTTGCAAATGTCTCTGGAATGGCAACATGAAAGCTTGAAGCATAAATCATATTATGATATTTAAAATGCTAATAGCAGCATTTTCATGGAACATATTTTCCTGAATGTTTAAGTTCATATACAGTGTATCACTATCATTTCGAATAAGCGTATAGGTTATTACAATATTTAAACTAACCAGGTTTCTAATATTAGTCCTTTTCAATATAAGTGTATATAACAAAATCAAAACAATATGCAAATTTCACCAGTTCACCAAATTCCACCGGTATAAAAAAAAATGAGATGCTTGCGAGCATAATTCTATATTGAGGACTGTTAAGAAATTAAAGTACGATGTTTCAAACAGCGATAAATCAAACAAGATAAATCAAACAGCGTATTCTGCAAAATTGATGAAATAAATCCTCCTGACAACCAGCTACACCTATGAGGCGCCAAAGCGGACAAAACTGCTATATGCCTAAATTGTTATGCTCTTCGGTTAATAGCATACGAAAATGTTCTAAACTCTAATAAAAGCGTTCAAATTTTCAAAAATACATCCGGAAAACGTTAAAATTAGGCCGAAGTACAATAGGAATTTAACTGTTGGCATCAGCTTTCTGATTATACGCTTCTAAACAATTTTCGCAAAAATACATTCCAATTGACAAATATACATGCTAATTAATATTCCATTAATTAACATAATTATTCCAGAGAAGATATCACTCAAAACATGGCGTCCCAAACAAGGAGAAATGACAGCTTTTTAGGGTTCTTGGATATACTAAAGTCCGTTCTTGCTCAAACACAGAGCCTTTTCGAAGAAGGACCGTTAACTGATAACCGTTTAGCTTCCGTAGATGCTCTGGAAAATTTGTCAGTAAAAATGGATGAAATTTGCGAGACGTTGGTCATATTCCTGAACAGCTTCATAAATCCTGCAGATGACACTTTGTGGCAGCAATTGTATAATCTTTTATGTGTTTTTTTCGAAATAAAGAAATACCTAGAAGAGGAAACTAACAAGCTTTATGAGGACGAAGAAAATGCACAGATGCGAACTACTACTTCGAACGTCTTAGTCACCACTACAGGCACTAGAAATAACCCAGGCCGTCCAAGGTATGAAATTGACGAAGATCAAGTATTGTTTTTACGATCAAAGCATTTCAAATGGAGGAAAATCGCCCAAATTTTGAATATATCTGACCGTACTCTACGAAGAAAACGACAGGAGTTTAGTGCAAGAACTGAAAACTTTAGCGATATTTCTGAGGCGGATCTTTGTGAAGTGATTGAGAGTATTCGTTCCCTGACACCCAACATTGGACAGTCTCGCTTACTTGGGGCTCTTAGATGTAAGGGATTTAAAATTCAAAGGTGGAGGGTACGAAATTGCTTACGAAAATTAGACCCCGTGGGTACAGCATTGCGTGGTCATGTAGCCATCTACCGAAGAAAATACTATGTACCATACCCCAATTTTCTTTGGCACCTGGATGGCAATCATAAACTCATTAACTGGAGAATGGTTGTGCATGCATGCATTGATGGATATAGCAGAATGATAATTTACTTGTCATGCGAAAACAACAATCTTGCCTCAACTGTTTATAATTTATTTATTGAAGGCGTTTCTAAGTATGGTTTACCAAAGAAAATAAGAACTGACCATGGATTAGAAAATGTCCAAGCAGCTAGGTATATGCTACAGCAAAGAGGTACAGATTGTGGCAGCGTGCTTACAGGAAGATCAGTGCATAATGTAAGAGTAGAGCGACTTCATAGGGATGTGTACTCTGGTGTTCTCAGACACCGCAGAAATTGGTGTTTTAAGACGTTTCAACCCGAAAATCTAATCGCTGGTTCACAATTGTGCATTTCTGTACCGCTATCAAAGAGAAACCTTTGAATATCTTAAAAAAGTTCAATTTTTCTTCTGAATACGCATTCTGCAATCTTTCGACAGCTCATCATGCACATCTGACAGCTGTGAAATGGCCATTTTGAGGCTTAAAGTATACACAAGGTTATTAATTCAGACGATTCGTTTTTACCGTGAGCAAGCTTCAAATCTTTTGTGCAAGACATATTTTCTTGAATATTTATAAATCTTTTTTCTCACCAAGTTTGAAGTCTAAGTATTGAGAATTGCGGCTAAGTCTATACCAATTTCCGCGGTGTCGTGTTCTCAGCCATTACGCTTCACTTTTTACATTTATGGAAGGAGAAGGTTTACTTAACATTGACAGTGAGGAGCACTTGCTAGCTCTTCAAGAAGTATTTTTTCCACGCATTAACAGAAGTCTGAATGAATTTGTGAATCAATGGAACAGCCATCCAGTCAGCAGTGCTGGGCATCAGAGCCCAGAGCAAATGTTTATTACCGCGTTGTTAAACTCTGCCACTTGTGATGACAGTTTGCCTGCTGAGTCTCTAGAAACATTAGGAGCTGGACTTGCAGATGATGATGCCCCAGATCCTGATTTTATTGTGCAAGAAAAGGATTATGCAGTATTTGTTCCACCAACTGAACTGGAAATTCCCAGAAATATAAGCAGTGAACAGTTCTTAACAGATGATGGAAATTATGGAATTTATCATTATATTGCATGTTTAGAAGCAATACAAGGAAACAATGAATAATTGTTTGAAACATTTATTAAAAATTTAACTTTATCTTTTAACATGAATAAAAACTCAGACTAGCTGAGACTTTAAAGTGGAAGTCAAGTCCATCATGTGCCCTTTAATGTAATGTAAAAATTGCCTAAATTTAGCATTTTAAAATTTTTCTGAGCCTTATTCTTGAGTTCTGATTCATTAAGAAGCACAAAGCCTAGGCACATTATATTTTAAAAATTATTTAGGTTCAAAATGTAGAAAACCATTTGTTTACATATGGACTTGACATAGTGATAAGTAACAATCAAGGCTATATAAGAGATGCACTGAAACATCCACTAGCAATATTAAACCAAAATATAAACTATAAAAAACACAACATTTGCTAAATATACAGTTTTGCTACATAGTATATATAGTAGGGGCTTTTATAAGTCTATTCCAGTTAGATACATCACTTAAACAATATCAAATTGCCAATATAGCCCTTTTCTCTTAGCACACTACTGCACTCTTCTGATAACTCATTGAATGACTGGTATGTTGATGGCAATTCCAAACTAGGGGTACATGTGTGAGCAACTGGTGTACGTGCAAATCCATCTACACTAACAAAACTGACTTCTATGCTTTCACAAATTATTATGTCACTCCCAGTTGTAAACTGCAAAAAAGCTGAAAGTGCACCATCAGACAAACTTTTTATAAACCTTTTTAAATGATCAAAGCTTTCCCTTAATTTCAGCATCATTTTCTGGTTGAGCTGACAATAACTTAAGAACCTTCTTAGGGCTTACAGTTTTTTCCTCATACATCATTCTCAAATCTTCAACTGACTTAAAAGGGTCAAATACTGTTAAACATTTTAGCATTGTCGACCAACATGCAGCTATGTATTTTGGTCTTTGAACAATTTCTTGGTGAGCAAGCTGAAAAATAATTTCACTGATGTTCTCTGCATTTGCAAGACGAAAGCACTTGTAAGAATTTAAAAATTCTAATATATCCTTATTCTTATTGTCAAATTTTCCATTCATACAGGCATCAATTATTTCCTTCTCGTCTGTTGAAACATAGAGCTTAAATGAATCAAGTAGTAAATCATTAGACAACTTTTCTTCTCCTAGTATGCACAAAGCTACAAATGACATCGATAAATTGAGTGGAAAATACTTAGTGCTAAGATAACCGTAGATCAAAATGCGTGCAACTGCTTCCCAATCATTTTTTTGGAAATCATGTCGAATACTTGGTATCTTTTCTTTTGTTCCTACTGCCAGGGAAATGAAAAAGGATTGCCAGAAAAGGGTCAGAATTTCTCTAGTAACTCCTCTACCCTCACCTTTCTCAAGGGCACCATTGCTAGCAATTACTCTTAGATTAAGATTGTAATTAAGTATTTCTTTATCTTTAAATTCTTTGATCAGATCCTTCATGACATTTGTTCTATGGATCAACATGTCTTTCACAGACTTGTCGATGAGAGTAAGATCTATTGTCTCAACTATAAAATTTATAAACAAGCATAGACTTAATGTAAAAGTAAATTTTAAGTGGTAACTATTTATGGATATCAATAAACTGTTTCACATCTCATAGACATTTCAAATGATTTGCACATCTGATGCAAGCTTGCAATGGTTACTAGAACAATAGAATTTTGCATCCCCAATCTCATTAATATAATATTACCTCTTTCTCCATCATCGGCAGGAGTATTAGGTACAAATCCAGAGCCAGACATATTTGCAAGTACAGCAGTAATTGCAGTATCTGGTACTGTTGTGGGACTAGAAACAGGTCCAGGCACAGAAGTTGATGCAGAGGTAGGACTAGGAACAACAGAAGTTGCTGGAGAAATAGGACCAGCTGCAATAGGAATAGGTGCATCCTCTGCAGCTGAGGCACTTCTATAAGTATTTTAATTAAATATATGATTAAAAAACTTATCACCCATATACCTGAAGATCCAGTGTAAACAATCTAAATTTTAAGATAGACTGTCTTTTAAAAACTAACCCTGATTCTTTGTCAAAAACAGAATGCATCAAGATACTATCATCTTCCAATTCTGTGCATCTCAGGTATATGGCACCTTGTCCTGCTACTTTGAGGATGATCTCAGCAGTAGCTTCAACACCATTAGCCAAATTTAATGGTACTAGCTTTCCATAACATGCCTGGAAGAATATTTTGTGGAATGTAAATTAGAAACTTTTCCTTGACCCTGTTTTTATTTACTGAAATACATGTAAAACTCCAGATTTACCTTTACATATTCAAATTCTGAATATTCAAGTTCGGGAATCTGTTTGCATATTTCTTTTCGCAGCGACCTAGCATCCCACCCCGTGTCAACAGGAAAACCATGAACGACTTTACCGTCTGTTTCAAGCGTGACTCGAGCAGTGTGCGTGGGAACTTGTTCCTCCTCCGGATCTGGTATGAAAACTAGATCTTTATGAACAACTTTTGATGGCTTATCCACCGCCCGTTTTCTTTTCCGACTCGCCTGGCTCGTTGTTGAACTTGAACGGGAAAATGCTGCCCTATTGCCTGAGTTCACTGAGGACGCGGCAGGACTAGCAGAAGTAGGCCTGCTATTTGGCATTCGTAAGGAAGGAAATCTTCTACTAAGTTCCATGCTTACAGAGTTTGATGCTGATGAACTACTGTTGGCATTCATAGGGTGGTTTTCACTGACACTTACTCCTGTTAAACGCGCAATTTGATCAAATGCATCTTGCAGCAAATTTATCCTTCGATCATCCGCCATTTTTACTCAGAAGTCAGAATGTTTGACAGAAAAGTTGAGAACATAAAACTGAGAAAAGCGCGGGAAATTATATTAATTAATGGAATATTAATTAGCATGTATATTTGTCAATTGGAATGTATTTTTGCGAAAATTGTTTAAAAGCGTATAATCAGAAAGCTGATGCCAACAGTTAAATTCCTATTGTACTTCGGCCCAATTTTAACGTTTTCTGGATGTATTTTTTAAAATTTGAACGCTTTTATTAGAGTTTGGAACATTTTTGTATGCTATTAACCGAAGAGCATAACAATTTAGGCATATAGCAGTTTTGTCCGCTTCGGCGCCTCATATACACCTGTCTATATATAAAAATCAACTACAATCATGATTATTTTTTTTACCTTAACTTTTTCAACCGTCGTTTCTGCTTTCTCCGCAGCTTTTGTTATCGTATCCTCCATTTCTTTTGAGGCAGAAATCATTCCGTTGTTATAAAACGAGCTTAGTATACGCTTCTGCTCATCACTTAACATTTCATAATTTCGCGTGGCAGCCATTTTGCTGAACAATAAACGCTATATTCGAGCCACCTTAAATGAGCGACCTCGGGTTAGCGAGGTGATCACCTGGTACAGATATAACTGGCGTTCTAAATCATAGAATAGTCAGCATATGTGTTTTAGAACACGAGGAACGGGTGCAAATGCCGACCAATGTCGCAAAATACCTACAGTTCATGGCCATCGGTCCGAAGCTATAAATTCACGTTGAATATGTACGAAATTCATATCAAAATACGCGCCAAAACATGTAGATTTCAATTCCGAATGTAAGGAAAGGAAATATTGTATTGTGGAAGCAGTACGAGGAGTTTTCCCGCAACCTCCACTCTAAACAGCGATTTTTGACCAATATTCTTTTATAGCCCGCAACATTCAAACCCCAAAGTCCGACTCCGGGATACAACGAACCTTTACCAAAAACAATAAAATAATGTGCGGCATAGGTCTAAATTTTTTTTCGAAATTTTTTAGTTTGCTTACTCTAAAGGTAGTTGCATGATTTTTAATAAGTAAATAAATATTCAATTTTAGAAAAATAACAGGCAAGATATTCATGACAGAATTGATTTGGCAATTCCCGTGTTTCACTGTTACGGGCAAAAAGCTTCCTGTCAGGTTTATACGACTGTTACTTATGGACATTCATAGCATTAAAAAATTATTTGGTACTGTTATGCATAGAAGATAGACATATGAAAAAAAAATTATTTATGGAGAAAACTACTGTACCGTTCGCCATGTTTCATGTCGATGAAACCTTTAGGGTATTCATGTCTACACACTCTGCCAAATACTCCCTTTTCGTCAAACAGCGCATTTCTTCCTTTTGATCGCAACATATTATTTACTTCCCCAGATTTAAACTCATCACAGACCTTTAAAAAAGGCATATAAAATGTATGTTCCTTTCAGTTATTCAATTATCATACTGTACATGTAAACCCATTTAGTGTTTAACCGTGTAGCTTAATGCATATTAATACAAACAATTCATCAAAAACTTACCGCTGAGGCTTCTTGTGCATCTTTTGAATAGTCCAAAACAAATTCATCCACATGTTTTTGGTCTGCAAACATAATAGTACCATGTCTTGGTGGTAAAAGAACTGTCCCAGCTGACTTCTTCCTTACTAGCCCGAAACACCCATCCATCGATTCAATTACTAGATTTTGTGTTTCATTATCATTTCCATTCCACATGTAAAAGATAAGCATGACTGTGTGGTTGGTGCCTGATTGCAGTTATGAAATCATATATAAAAGATGTAAATGGTGTAAAACAAAACCAAGCACATAAGGTTTACAGTACTGAGTACTGTGCACATACAGTATTTACATTTCAATTACTGCAGTTACTCTGATTGTCATCTTATTGTAACTTAAAATGTAGTCAATGTGAGCCCACTATAATTTTACTTATCTTATACTATACTGTCGACACAATTTTAGTTTACTTCCAGTTAAATGGTTATAAATGTAGTCCAGAAATTTTCCTTGAAGGTAAAAAAGTTGATAAGATGTTGCCTTTCTCAATAAAATGCATTGTTTGCAAATAGGTAACAAGGTACATACTGTAAATTAGAAAACACAAGTTTCCCATCATTTATACACTGTCCATTTCCTGACTTCCAAGCAATTCATTTGATCAATTCTTTGAAAATTTAGCAGGTTCCTCGAAGAATTCAAAACATCCTTATTTGAGTTGACCATTCAAAGTTCATACAGGTATTTTACTTTTCAACAATTCTGATTGGTTGGTACAGTAAAAGAGAAATTATGAACTTTTATGGAACTTTTCAAAATATCGAGGAAATTATCAAATGTATTGCTGAAATCTAGAAAAAAACAGATCAACATTTTTCAGAATGCTTCTACAGACTACAGTACCTGTATTGCCCTAGCTGTAAAATTGTTCATGAGGAAATTAATTGGTTAAAAGACTATTACCTGAGAGCAATGTGGGCAAATAGTTTCACACAGCTGATCATTTACTTCTTTCGTTGACTTTATCAAGTATTGATGGTATCTGTTACAACATAAAATTTTGGAAACATTAAATGAATCATGACAATGTAGTTCCCAGTCTCAAACTGTCTCCCTGACATTTTTATCACTAGTGACTCATTCTATGAAGGCCGGATAGCACCATCTAAAGTACATGTACTAGCAGGCTTTGCAGGCATTCTTTCGATTTGTTCAGTATTCTAAAATCCTGCATTTTTGAGATATTTGGCTTTACTGTAAACCAAAGATACAATGAATTTTGCAAGTACATAGTAGAATAGTGAGGATAGAACTAAAACAGGTTCTATATCAAGACTATTACCGGAATTCATAAATAGTCATTATTGAGTATTTTTGTATATATCCTTGATCTGTAAAAAATAACTAAGATTAACAAGACGCCTACTAGGCGTTATGGTCGCGTCGTTCACAGCGGTGTAGCCAACCCAGCTATGAAAATTTTGTGTCGAAAATGTTCTTAATAGTAAAAATGAACAATATACCGAACTATAGGTCGCATGTTGAAAGCAGGAAAAACACAGAATAGCCCATTTCAAAACCGCTCTACATCTTTTACTTAGGGTAGCCGGTGTAGGTGCTCGGCGTGTGCAGTTGTATATATACGCGACGCGACGCGACCAACTAGCAACTCACCTGTGCGCAGGTTCCTGATTAGGGTGATATGGCCTGCAGCTAGCGACGCTGGGGGTCGACCCGAGAGGAAAATAAAAAAAAAACAAGCCGAAACTATAGGTCGCTGTCGCCACGCGACGCGACCAACAAGACGCCTACTAGGCATTATGGTCGCGTTGTTCACAGCGGCGTAGCCAGCCCAGCTATGCAAATTTTGTGTCGTAAATGTTCTTAATAATAAAAATGAACAATATACCGAGCTATAGGTCGCATGTTGAAAGCAGGAGAAACACAAAACAGCCCATTTCAAAACCGCTCTAGATCATTTACTTAGGGTAGTCGGTGAAAAGTTCGATTTGGCATAAATTTACACGCAACTCAAACTAGTTGCAAATCAAAAGAATAAGTTTGCTTCAATTTTGCACGGGTGTATTTTTGTAAAATGCAACCTTCCGATTTGCGGCAGTTTTGCATACCAGTTTGCTCGCGTGCAAATTTGGGTATAGATTTGCACTGAATTGCCTAGCCTCCTCCGCAGGCATCACCTTTAAATTGGCAGGCGGCCAAAAAATATTTTAGCGGTGATGCCTGCCAAAACCGGAAGCTAATGGACCAGCTGTGTAACTGTGTGGACCGGCTATGTTACCCCTACTCCCACGGGATTCATAAAAACAGTAAAGATGGCGGAAAAGCCGAAGGAGCGTCAATCGAAAATACCTAGGTATGTCAGAACAACACCACCAGTTTTAAGCGCGGGTTATTTAAACGTATTAAAAGAAATCAAAACAAAGCGCGTAGAGATAGAGGTCAAGGAGCGAAAAATCGAGAATCTTAAGGATTCCTTGCGGGATTCGAATATTCGAGAAGACCCAAAAGAACATGATACATCGGGGCTGTCAACAACGTGTTCAAACCGATCCGCACAAGCAGGGCAAAGAGATAATAATGCTTCACCAAGCGAATTCGTTGGAAGTCAAGTGAGAAGTACGATCTGTACTCCTGGAGGTACCTAGCGAAAAGGTATTTTATAGTAAAATCATACTATATTTTATAACAAAATATACAGTTGTATTTCATAATTATGAACTCCATCGTAATTATCGCTAATAAATGAAAGCAATCACCACACAAAGATTGCTTTCATTTATTAAAAACCAGAGTAGCGATTATTACGATGGATTATATACCTGGTTTCCGTGAACTTAAAAATCGTGTCACGTAATATAAACATCTAAATTTTTAATTTTATAGTGAGATTGGCTTATTTAAAGTATCAAGCAACCCTCAAAGACAGTTTGGACAAAATACTAGTAAAAGAAACGGGTCAGGAGGTTTTAGTTGACGATCTTTTGCATAGTTTGCGCCTTCATTATCATCCTGCAAAAACAACAAATCGTTCACAACTCCTGAAAGAGATAAGCAAGATACTGGGCACCACAGTCGAATTTAGAGGGAAAGGAAGGAAATTGTAAGATATACATAGACTCATTTTGTTTTTAATACTTCCTGTTTTTTTTATAAAGAATAAGTAATTATATCGTAATATTTTATTCGTGGTCTTTAAGGCATTGACAAAGAAACATAAAAATGCAAAAGTCCTGCTATGTTAACCCTATCTATCCTTTAAGCTAAATGTATGTTTACTATTTTACTGCTCCCTGATTAAAGTTCTAAAATTCTGTGTGTGCATTTATGGTAGGTAAAAAATAATCAACCTTGCAAATAGACATGTAAAAAATAAGCCCCCCCCCTCTCTCTGTTAAGCCCTCCTCTTTATTAGATCCCTCTCAATTATTATTGTCTTTATTATAATAGGGCATTGTATAAAAACTACAGGCTAGTGAATGGGCCAACTGGACCAACAAGCCCATCTGTAAGCTCTCCACCATGTCAGAAATCAAGAAAAGGTCTGTTTTGTTTTTTCAAGGTTTTCAAAAATAAAGTAGATACTAATAAACTTACATTTGCTCATGTGACATGTTAGAATTGAATGAAGGTCATGGTCTATAACGAATGAGTCCATGTGCAGTTATTATGTTGAAAGATGTCATGCAGATTTACATTTGGCTACATATTCATAATTTAGAGTAATTTGAACAGATTTACTAACAATTAAATATCTTTTTTAGACTCTTTTGTACAATCAGAACATGTGAGAACAAGATTATTCACAACAACAGATGGTGAGTGGTAAAAAGTTGTTTTAATTTAATTACTATAAGTATCAAACTGTTTTCAATTAATGGTAGTAAATTAAACATAAACACTAATGATTAAAATAAATACATTTATTTAGGTTCATGTAATTACATAAATATAAATTATTGCCATTACTTTAACAGAACCAGAAGCATCGTATTCTGAACAATATTTGCCAAGCATGTTGGGAGCATTAAATATTCAAGAAGAGACAGGTAAATGTTTGATGTGGTTATGCAACTTATATTTTGGTTGTCTGACATGTATTGTAATTGTGAAGATACATGTTAATATTGTAGTAATACCGGTATACACTGAGTTTTTTTGTATATTTAAAATAGTTTGGATCCAGACGTATAGATAAGCTAGAAATAAATTATTATTCTTATTATTATTATACCAGATGTTTTAGGCGGGATGCAGATGTCTGCTGTTATTGGAACAATCCAAATTTTACAGAATTTGCTATATTTTAATATTTTTTCTTCATAGAATTACCATCTAACCAGGCAATGTTAAAAGAGCAGTTTCTCAAGCTCCAAGATGCCTTAACAAATACAAAACATTTTGTAGCCACATTAAATGAGAGAATAGAGCACTTGGATGCTGACAAATCAGAATTGCAAGAACGTCTTTATTCCTTGGAATCTATGTTTTCCACATATAAAGAAAAAGTTACATCAATTGTAAAGGAGCAGGATAATGTAATTACACTGTATAAAGATTTATTAGAACAGGGAAATCTGATTGGTGGCATGTTGTCCATTGAGACAGTGTATTCAGTCAGAGATTAAGACAGTAAAGCATATTTTTGATTTGGGGATAAGGGGTAAAGAGAAGGCAAAAGACCTAATACAATTTCTTGATCCTTCCCTTTTTCAAAATTTGCTTGTTCAAGTTAAATCCCAGTGCCCTGTGCTAGTCAACATATTGGAGCAACTAGTACTTTCAAGTAATGCAGTCCGTTCCACAAAGAAGACTCCAAATATGAAGATGAAAGCGGCGATTCATTTATTGGCCTCAATTCTTGATGTACGCGATCAGAACGCACGAAATGATATTCCCATTCTGTTTGGATTGTTGTGTTTGAGTTTTGGTGCTGGACCATCCCTAATTACAGTACTGCAGCATTTGGGCTTATCAGAATCACACCCTGTTTTGTAAGTGTATAATATATTGTATATAATAAATACTTTTATTTGCCTACTACGAAAGAAAAAAAGAAGCCAGAATTAAGCAAACTAAAAGTACTGGTTAAAGGAACGTTTTTTATGTTGTATATTATATTGTAGTGCAATGTACTCACAGAGTTGCAAAAAAGCTGCGGGTATGCGGGTGCCACCCGTGAGGAAGGTTTGCTTTGAATGAGGTTTGTGAGGAAGGATTAAAGTTGAACACTACTTTGATCACATTCTTTTACCAAAATTTTCATTATGCTGGTTGCTACATGACTCAGTGACGTAACGTCATTTTGAGGAAGGTTTTCAAAACTTGAAATCCAACCGGAGGAAGGTTGAACTCTTTTTGCAACTCTGTGTACTCAGGCGAATAAGATGATTGTGATGTTACTCTGAGTTAAAGTTAGTACTGACGTCAGCTAAAGTAAAATAAAATACCCTGCAATGGTGCTTATCGCACTGTCAAGGGGTAAGCAAAGTGTAAAAGACATGTCAGCCATGTAATTCGTTTCCATTTCTCTAAACAAGTGTAATCGGTTTTTATGCAGGAAGATTGTGAGACATCTGATTAAACCTATTTTGCGCTTATGTGGACAATTTAGGAAATGTATAAAACAGAACAATTCAATTTACATGTAATGCTTTAAAACAATAACAAATTATTTTTTTTGAAATGTTTCTAGAATATCGGTGCTACGTAATCAGCTTGAGCATTACAAGACCATCATCTCAAGCAGAGTTGCTTCTAACCATTCTGTCATAACATACCAGGACAATATGCAAATTATGAGGACATCGCTGAGACATCTTAGGCTTTCGAAATTGCACAAGGAGAAGTTGAAACAAGAGAAGATATGGGATTTCACTGTTCGTGGTTTGGCGAGCTGCCGACACAAATGGAATAGAGAACTATTTCAAGGATCCCAATACTGCTGTGGAACCACAGGGTGAAGTGTCCACCATGAAATATGAAGACACTAAACTTGGTAAGCTTGTTATTATACTTTATTAAGAGCAAACCCAAATTAAGGTGGAACATCATTGGCTTGAAAACTTAAATGTATATTATTTGGGTGAATGAATGCAAGCTGCTAATGTAGTTTGGTGAGTACACTGAAATGAATAACGTTTGAGTGTACAAGTGTACGATTAATTAATGTGCAATGTAGCACTAATTGTGTTTTTCCTTCAACGATTCCTGTTTCAGATAATAATCCTGAACACAAGCAGATTTGGGAGGAGTTCAAGGAACGCAATCTTCTTCGTAAGATGGATGTGGCGTTCAATTTAGTTCCGTGCAGAATTGATGAACTTAAGAATAAGACATCGACAGATATAAGAATGATTGCAGAAAACGATGCTGATGATGAGACAAAAGAATTTGTCATAGATGTACCGCCATTAAAACAAGAGTTCCCGGAACTAGCATGTCAAAAGTCGCAAGTTTATCCCCTGCCGCTGTCGTTTGAGAACCAATGCACAACTATGGGAACAGCAAATAATCTCTCACTTTTCAGTGAAGAGTTCAACTTTCCTTGCAAACCCGCCGAAAAGTATATTCCAATGAGACAAAACGCAGCCAATTTTAATCTGGAGGCCGCGTATGAAAGATATGCCTTTCTTAAATCTTTGGATAAACATAAGGACAAACAACGTAGATATGAAAATATTTTAAGGAAAAGAGATGGTGAATCTGCTGATAAAGACAATGTCCAAGTGCTTGATAATTCAATTATTGGAGTTTTAGATAGTGACAGTGATAGTGACAACTTTTCAGACTAAGCTATGGCTTATTATAACATATTTTGACACATTTGGAAACATTCTATCCATTATTTATATACCGTTGTTGTAAATCCAGGTCCCGTAATTTGTATCGGTTAAGAAGTTTAGGTTATTAAAAAAGGTTGATGGCGCGATATCATGTGGATCATAGAGATTATAAATAACGTGTTATTATTTATAATCTCTATGATATGATAACGCTGTTGGGCCTTCGCATGACACCCACGTTAAAGTTGCTTTCCATTTACACGTTTTATATTTCGCAAAGCAAAAGTCTTTAATATTTCGCAAGTTTTAGTACGTGAACTGTAAACTATGAGCGCTAAAGGCAGACAGGTTAATGTTTGTTTTGGAGCTGATACTCAGGGATTGCCTTAAGTTTGTTGCAAAGTAGGTTTACCTTTGTACGTTTTCTAGTTGAAAGGTGTAAATTAGCAATAACACATCAAACTTTGTGTGTTCATAGTTTACATTTTACGTTTTTGCAAGGACACCTTAATTGAATTGGCTCATTTGGCTGTAAATTGGGGCGTATAATCGTTACATGTAAATGTAGCAAATTCGATACTTATACATGTGGTTATTTTTATACTCTTAAATTAGACATAATATTTAGGCATTATATTACAAAAAGCGAGATTTTATTTGCGGTATATATGTCATTAGTTGACATATTTTCTTAATCATACCTTTGTATTTTAATTATTTTATATGTAAATAGTGTGATTTCAAAATTGGTATTAATTTTAGTGTAACTGTAATACCATCGTATTTTTTCAATAAGTTGAAATATATTATCACTTGTTTATAATCAACATGGGTGGCTTGAGCATTATATTAACAATATAGCTGTTTCCGAAACTTATGGATAGGCGACAGCCGTCTCAAAAAATATCGACAGCGCAAAATCAGAGTTTGATTGCGAGACAGCATGCATAGGCACGCAAAAAATCTGATTTTTGAGTCGATCCCATAAAATGGAGATCGTACCGTTTATAAAGAACTAAACCTATTTATATACATCATGTCGTGCACTTCATTCGGCATGTTCTGTTAATTTTTCGGCTAGTTATAACGGCAAATTAGGAAGTGCTTTTTGCACTTAATGAAATACGTGTTGTTATGAACGCATTACTGAACTTCTATAGAAGAGTGGTTAATTGTATACAGTGTAAACTTAGCTTAATCTAAAATATTTTTTGGCTGCCTACCAATTTAAAGGTGATGCCTGCGGAGGAGGCTAAATCATGAGCAATCTGGAAGACGCAAATGCGACACAGTTACAAAATGTTTCATGGGCTGAATTGGTTGCGAACGTTGGTTTACAATCGGTAAATGAAATTGATGGAATTTCAATTGCGATGTTGAAATCTTTTCAAGAATCACAGATTTTTCCTACACAAGAAGAGCTTGACCATTGTTATCGGGTGAATAGGTCTCATAATGCAATTCTCCTGAAAAAGTTGTATGATTGGTTGGGCATAATTGGAAATGATAAAATGGCAAATTACCACATTAAGCTTGCTAATGATATTTTGCCAATTCGTAGATGGTACAAAGAGTCGATACGACATGGCAATGGAAAAGCAGTGGAGGCGGTTTGGATGATTTGCCCCGCTATCTACGCACAAGCAGGAAAGTTCAATTACAGAGATGAAAGTTTTTCACACATCGTCAATTATTCGCGGAAATGGCCACTTGCCTACAGAATGATGTACAGACAAAACAGAACGGTCAATGTTGACGGAAGAGTGGATAAACAGCTAGCGGGAGATGAATGGGTGGAGGAACACCTGGTTCGTCCTGTAAAAATGTATGCTAAAGCGCAAACATCGTTTACTGTTCTTGAGATGATGTCTTGCTCGTCAAATATATTGGAGATGAACAAGAAACTTTATACGGATAGGGAGGCGTTTGACATTCACCGGACTAGAAAACATCGCACACCGGAGTCTCTTTACGATCAATTGATGATAGCCCAGTTTGCTATACGAGAAAACTGGTTTGAAGACTTGGACAGAACGAAAGTCATGAAGTATCCGTGGGGAGATAAGAAAATAAAGGAAGGAGAAGCAGTAGCTGATAAATATATCGATCCTCTAAGCAAGGGGGATGAAAAGGCAAAGAACGAATTTGAGTCATTCCTCCACAGAAAGTATCCAAATGATATGGATACATGACTTTATTGAGCAAGTCTATAGGTATCTTCTTAATTCTAGTCATATTAGGTGACATTTTCAAACAAGCAGGAGGAGTAAATATAGGTGCCATGCGCTGTGGTTATTGTAGTACCCAGATTACATTGAAACAGAGGTTGATCATTGAGAACAAAATTAACCTTTAATTTAATCCCATAAAAATACACTGTCTATTTTCATCTTGTTTACTGTCATTGAAATGGAAGTTTTGATAAAATATTGCATAAATCAATCAATCAATCCATCGTAATTATCGCTACTCTGGTTTTAGTAAATGAAAGTAATCACCACACAAAGATTAACTTTCACGACCCAACGTTTCGACACTCCGGTCTAGTGTCTTCATCAGGGGTGATCTGATGTTGAAACTCGGTTCCTTATATACTCTCAAAATGACGTCATCTATTAATCAGATGTAAATACTCTTTTGGCAAATAGCTTCCGTCATCCCTATTAAGGGCACAAAGACTCGCATTAATATGCCAGGCTTCCAAACAACGCCTTTGTCCATAACGATCATTAGTGGTAATGACTTTTGAATCGTTCCACCCAATGTTATGGTTAGTTTGACACACGTGTTCCGCCAAGGCTGATTTTGAACTGTTTAAGTTCGATACGGCCTTTTGATGTTCTTTTAAACGTGTGCCGAACTGGCGTTTTGTTTGACCTAGATATTCTTTCTCGCAATCACCACATGGTATAGAGTATACAGCATGAGTTTTCTGTTTAGTCGCTACGCGATCCTTGGGTTTCGCGAAAATATGTCCCAATGTCTGAAAGGATTTTAAGGCAACTTTTATACCACAATTATTCAGGATCCTCCTGATTGGTTCTGCAATTCCCTGAATGTATGGAACTATAGCAAAACCTGTTTTTGAGGAATCACCCTCTGAGGGATTGCATCTAGTCGAGACAGGGGATTTTAGACAATCATTTAAAAAGTTTCGAGGATAATTGTTCTCTCTCAGTACACTGAGGACATAATCACGCTCGTTGTCCCTAGCAACGCGATTGGATGGTAACGATTCAGCTCTTTGAAACAAAGTTTTTGCAACAGACTTTTTATGACTTTTGGGATGGTGTGAGTAGAAGGATAGATATTTGTCCGTATGTGTAGGTTTACGGTAAACGTCAGTTTCTAACTGCCCTTCGATATTTCTATGAACATAAGTATCCAAAAAAGCCAACTTTCCCTCACTCTCGCGCTCTACAGTGAATTGAATTGATGGCTCAATTGAATTCAAATGTTTCAACAAATTATCGATCTCATTTTTGTTAACCGCAGAGGCCACATCGTCAACATATCGTTTCCAAAACAAAGGTTTGACCGGACTAGAGGCTAAAGCTCTTTGCTCGACATCTTCCATTACTAGGTTAGCAATTACTGCCGAGACCGGGGATCCCATCGCCGTCCCAAAAACCTGCTGGTAATAGTTGCCTTCGAAAGTAAAATAAGTCGTATTGAGACAAAAGGATAAAAGATCGATTATATCCTCCACAGGTAACGATGTTCTTTGTGATAAAGAAACATCTTCTGTGAGTCTTTTTTCAGCAACTTTGATGGCAAGATTGACAGGGATTTTGGTAAACAAGGAAACGACATCAAACGATACGAGCACTTGGTCTGCGTTTAGAGTTTCACCTCTAATAAATTCCGCGAAATGAGTGGAGTTTTTTACTGTGTAGACAGTATTCCCAACAGTAGGAGACAATATTCTAGCCAAATACCTCGAAAGATTGTAAGTGGGGGAATTGACAAAAGACACGATAGGTCTCAAAGGTATTCCCGACTTATGAATCTTCGGCAAGCCATAGAATCGCGGAGATAAACGATCGCTACTACGCAACAATTTATAAGTGACCTCGCTGATTTTGTTAGCTTTCTTAAAGAGTAATAGGCGTTTGTTCAATTCTCTTTCAGTCTTACCAGTTGGGTCAGCCTTAAGGACACTATAGGTGTTTTTGTCATTGAGCAATGCACTCGCTTTCTCGCGATAGTTTTCTCTGTCCATTACAACAACACAATTGCCTTTATCTGCTGAGAGCACAACCCTGTCCGGATCTTTCTTTAAAGAAAGCAAAGCTTTAAATACGTTACTGTCAATATTTCTCGGAGGAGCCTTAGCACGTCTGAGGATGCTACTGACTTCAGCTCTTACCGTCAGCTTAGTTTCATCGTTAAGGTGAAAAATTCCTTCTTCAACCGAAGCGACAATTTCAGCTATTGGAATTCGCCTCGGTGCAATAGCAAACTTAAGACCATGCTCTAGTCCTTTCCTTTCAATCTCCGTTAACTCCTTAGTAGAGAGGTTTTTAACCCATCTCTTCTTAAGAGCCGAATCTGAGTGATCCGGTGGTTTGTGTCCCAACAAACGTAACAATTTTTTGTCATGTTTCTCTTTCTGTTTGAGGGAAAGTATGCGTTCCTTAGAACGACAAAATTCTTCAACCCAAAGGGCTTCAGAACTATCCAACGTTTCAGAAAGTTCGCCAAACAGACGCAACCATTCAGAGCCCAAACGCTGTATACTGTCTACACAGTAAAAAACTCCACTCATTTCGCGGAATTTATTAGAGGTGAAACTCTAAACGCAGACCAAGTGCTCGTATCGTTTGATGTCGTTTCCTTGTTTACCAAAATCCCTGTCAATCTTGCCATCAAAGTTGCTGAAAAAAGACTCACAGAAGATGTTTCTTTATCACAAAGAACATCGTTACCTGTGGAGGATATAATCGATCTTTTATCCTTTTGTCTCAATACGACTTATTTTACTTTCGAAGGCAACTATTACCAGCAGG